TTAATTTTATCCATTATCGAAGTAGGCAAGCAATTATTAGCTATTTATTTTGTCACACAACCTCTGTTGCTACTGCAATAATTAAATACACTACATTATAGCTGAGTAAATTAATCGTTAATATTATAAAGAATATTAATAAAGAAATTTAAGGAATTTATTTTAGATGTACTCTAAGAGATTACCAGTCTAAACAGAGTTAAAAATTAGTCTCTAAAAATTAGTAGTCACGAAATTGCAAAGGTAAACCGTATTAAAAGCTTATTTATTTTCCAACGATAATAATATATCCTATTATTTTATTTTTAATCCCAATTCGTCTTTATTTTTCTCGAGGAAAGATAGTTCCTCGATAAGCTACGAATACGATCCGAATTCATGGCTGAAGGTAACACTTACATTGGCAAATGAATTTGCAAAATCGATTATACTTCTGATCCCGTGCAGGAATTTCTTGCTTCAAACGAAAGCATTATGCATGGAATTTTGAAACATTCGGGTTTTAGTAATTCAGGACTCGACTTTTACCATGCAAATGGACATCGTGGTTCCATCAAAGCTCCGAATCGAAAAATTGCCAGACCTCGTCCCGTTTTTTTCCCAACGTTTACGTTCAACTGCCCCTAAAAATAAAGAATTCAGGTTACATGCAATTTAAATGCCCCGCGCAGTTGGTATTTAATCTCGTCGCCTTTAACAAGTCACCCAAGGGTAAATGTCGTTTCAATTATACCCCGAGAATGGTTCCTACGTTTAATAAGAATCACCAATATATCGAAGGAGAAGAAGAAGATTCGTTAATTGGTACTCGATGAATGATAACCCACTTATTTGCAACTCCGCGAATCGTTAATCTCGTCTGATAAGATACGAATAATGAGCGTTCGCGATTTCCATAGCGGCCGCATGATGATTTAAAATAATCGGCCGAGCACTTTCTTAAACCAATTTGAAATTTTAATTAATGCATCTTGCATTGTTCGGCTTTCGAGATGCTTCGCTCTCTTCGCCCCGCGATCCTTCCGGTCTATTTCTGTAAACCCTTATTTCTCTTTTAGACAAGCCCGACGACAAAACAATTCCTAGAGATTATATTGCGAAATTAAGTCACGACTCGTGATATTTTTACTTTCAAAAGCGGCCGGTTTCTATAATTCATTTCGTTTTTACGGTACAATAACCGTGTATTAAAATGTAATCAGTGCAATATCGCAGTCCAGAAGCGTGATACTTGTTTTTTAAAAAGTTTTCGACATTCGGTTTCTGCGATATTTATTATTCCAGATTCTTCGACTCAAAATTCAAATATATGGTTACATCTATGTTCCATAATAATAATAATTAGTCGTATATTTATCGCTTAGGAAACTACCGTATCCTTCTAAAATATTTAATTCTATATTTATTTTTAAAATGTGAATATTAAAATTATTAGAAATTTTTCATCTAACGATCATCTTCGACGTTTCAAATTGACTATAGTCAAATATCGAGTTGTTAATTTATTAAATTTATTATATGGAAAAATCCCGTGTTCTTTTAACGTATGAATATTAACAAAATTTCGATTCGTTAGTTACTTAGCGTGAACCGACTATAGAAAAATCTTCGAAATATAACCGTATCATTATTTTATTTAATTTATCACATAGAAAGCTACTGTGTCCCTTTTAAAATATTTAATTCTATATTTATTCCTAAAATGAGAATATTAAAATTGTTCGAGATTTTCCAACCCAAAATTCAAATATATGGTTATATCTACGTTCCATAATAATAATAATAATAATAATAATAATAGTCGTATAAACGGTATAGGAGAAAAATATCTCGAATAGGGAAGGATTTATGTTAGAAAATAACAACCCTAAGTATTTCTCGAATTAAAATTTTGCTGTAATTCTAACGATCATCTTCAACGTTTGAAATTGTCTATAGTCAAATATCGAGTTGTTAATTTATTAAATTTATTATGTGGAAAAAATCCGTGTTCTTTTGAAATATGAATATTAACAAAATTTCGATTCGTTGGTTGCTTAGCGTGAACCGACTATAGAAAAATCTTCGAAATATAACCGTATCATTATTTTATTTTATTTATCACTTAGAAAGCTACCATGTCTCTCTAAAATATTTAATTCTATATTTATTTCTAAAATATGAATATTAGCAGAAATTCGATTCATTGATGCCCTGAGATCTAGGGTCTATGATTGGTACCCCGAGTCTATAGTCAGTGGACTAACTACGAGACTACTTTATCAACCCTTTGCACTTTTTTGACTTTTGATAACAGAAAAATAGCAATTCGAAGACTTTCTGGCATAAAGTCGAGGATATTTTTAAAACGGTAAATAAGAAATCGTATAGAAATTAAACCTTTGCTCTCGACGATTTTTTAGCTAAAGAAGGGTAAAGGAGTTGAAAAATTTTCTGCTATAAAACTGACGATATTTTTTGAGCACCAAATAAGAAATCGTGTAATAATTAACACGTAGAATTATTTCATTTCGATACCTCCCACACTGTTAAATAGTAATAAAGAAATAATAATAAATAAATAATATTCAATACCTCCCACAATAGCGAGCTTCGAAATTTTATGAAATAGCTGTTACATTATTTTAAATTTGATTTATTAATTAGTATCGAGCTTCGAAATTTTATGAAATGGCTGTTACATTATTTTAAATTTGGTTTATTAATTAATATCGAGCTTCGAAATTTTATCAAATGGCCTCTCGAGTGCAAAAGGTTAAGACGTAAGATTATTTTTCTTCGACATTCCACACGTCGTAATTTTAAATTCGATATATTAATTAACATCGATCTTTACAATCCGATTAAATGGCGACTGAGGGTCGCCTCTCGAGTGCAAAGGGTTAATCTCATCGCGTAGGAGAACACCGTGTTTCCCTGCATGCTAATATTGGTAAGAATTCGATCCCTTAATTTCTTAGTACGAAACCTACCAATATTAGTGAAATAATCGATGGACGAAAAAAGGAAAAAAGAATATTAAATAAAACGAAATAAAAAAAAATATCGTAAAATTAATTCCACAATTAATTTTTTCGGTGCAGAGAAATAGCAATTTCCAAGACTTTTTGCCATAAAATCAACGATATTTTTAAAACAGTGATTGAGAAATCGGATAAACATTAACGCGAAGAATTATTTTATTTTATTTTTATTTATTTTATCTTTTTATTTTATCTCGAATTATTTTATTTTCTATGCATCGTTGCGTTATTTTGAATTTGTTATTTTATTAACCCTTTGCACTCGAGGGACGACTCTCACAATCAGTTGCCATTTAATCAGATTCTAAATATCGTTGTTAATTAATATATCGAAATTAAAATTTCCCAACGACGCGTGAAATATCGAAATATAAAATAATTCTACGTCTTTCAATTAATTTGAACTTTTTATTCATCGTTTTGAAAATATCATCGATTTTATGGCCGAAAGTCTTCGAATTACTATGTTTTTGTAACGAAAAGTTCACCAAGTGCAAAGGGTTAAAGGGACATTCTTGAAATCCAGCTTAAAAAAGTCGATTTTTTTTTTTTACATTTTTTCAAAGTATATGCTTCCAAGAATGTCCGTGTAAAAGGATTTCTTCGAACTCGTAAAATTAGCGAAGTTATAGGTGTTTAAAGTGTGACCTACAGGCATTGCACAATGGGCAACGAAAACTTCAAACGCGTTTTTCTCGAAACCATATTTTTGGAACTGGCTGACGGGATATCTCGCTTTTCAGTTAACCGATTGGCTCGAAATTTGAAGATCTTCACTGAATGTGCCTCTATCGCGTGCACCATGGATTTCAAAATCTAATGTTCTTTTCCATTTTTGCGTACCACTGAAAGGACAAAGAGCATAGGGAAAATCGATATTTAAATTTCAAAGTCCCACCATTTTTTAATTTTCCAAGTTTCGCTGTAGTATAGTAGTTCATACTATAGCCGTGCTTATACCAATTAAGATGCTTTTTAGTTTTTTCGTTTCAGATAACCAGGTAGTCCGGAATCACATCCGCCATTCGAGCCATTCGAGCCCGTTTTTAAAAACGTGATTTACGTTTATAAAGTTATATAATTTCCACAATTTTCAGTAATTTCGTTAAACAAAAATTGGATATATCCTTTAAGTATAAATAAATCTCAGTGCAAAATCTGCATATCAAAAAGTATCACGGTTTCCTTATAAAAAAATCTGAAAGAAGTCGATTTTTATTTGCTGTGAAAATGACTGGTCCCAGAATTTTCCTTTTTGCAATCACCGAACACATACACCTGTTTTAAGAATAAAATTGGTAGAAAGAAGTTGTTAAGAAAGAACTGTAATCAATATATTCGCTCACATTCATCGTACCGCTGAAATTACCATAATCTGTGCACGTTATAGTTAGGTGCCCAGTAAAGATCGGTAGTTCTAGTATTAACTAACCCTTTGCGCTCGAGAGGCACTCTTCAGTCGCCATTTGATAAAATTTCGAAGCTCGATATTTAATAATACGTAAAATTTTACATCTCGAAATCAAATAATTCTACGATTTCTTAGAATCAGAAAAACATCGTCAGCTTTATAACAGAAAATCTTTTGTTCTGAACTCCTATTCTTCTTTAGCCAAAAGATCGTCGAGTGCAAAGGGTTAACATCTTTGAAATTTTATTTATATCGAAGTGTTAACCACTTGCGCTGAAAAGACGTGTCACGCACGTCGTAATGCTTTTGTCACAGAATCGCCAACGACGTGGTATACACGTGGTTAGGCAATTGTTACAGAAACACTAAACCGTTCTGGCACACGCGTCTGTGAATTTCTTGCCACCGCAAGTGGTTAATTAGAAAATCACGCAAATCGAACATTGTGCGCAGAATTTCGAACGAAAGGTTTAAAAATGGCCGCTCGAGCCATAGTGGATAGGAATTAACGTCGGAACGTGTATCCGCCATTGTTTAAACTGCATCTGTCTGCTTGTATTCCGCAGCTCCACGATTGGATTTGGACAGTCCGGAAAGCGGATACCACGGCCTGGTGAAGGAAAACGAAACTCTGGTCGAGGTCACGCCACAAATACGAGCTATAGGTGCCAAAGTCTGCTCCTTCCGTATCGCGAACAAACACCATGGCGAAGCGCCCTTCGAGATTGTTTTGAAAGAGAAAGGAATGGCGGAGCTGAGAGCGCTGCGAGTTCTCAACTGCGAGAAGCGGCGTAACTACAAGTTTGATATCGAAGCCGTTGGCTGCAACGGATCGTTATCGGAAAAGTACGAACTGCATTGAATAAACCTGACATTTCGCGAAAAACCCGTCTCGGCTTCCGTTTCGGGGCAGGTTCCGGTCTAAAATGGAAGTAGATCATATTTTACAATCATACTTGTACCGAACTCGATAAGATAACAATGTTTTATCGTGTACATATCGAGCATGTGAAGAGTTATGCGTGTAAATTCCAAGGGTTTATTACCATTATTATTGTAACATTATTGTTATTGTTAATATCATAAGTTTCGCGTAAATTGCGCAGTAGGATGACGATGGGGGTAATTACCTACCACCCCATCTCGAACGAAAAAGTCGAATATTTTCTTGAGTTATTGAAAATTTTCGTGTCAATATACCTACAAATTATTGTTATTATTAACCCTCTATGCGCCCGTGTAACTTTCAAGTTACATGCTAATGTATGGGTATTTTATTAAAATACTGCATTCAACGTGATCGTCTTGATCACTCCAGTTCGCGATTTTTCTTTCGATATATTTATAATTATTTTTACAACGCCTCCCGTGGTTCCATTTTTAAAAATTCTAATTCTTTTTCATTTACCGGTTATTCAATCATGATAGGTTAGGTTCTCTATGCCCCCCTATGACCTTTCCTCCACAAGATGGCGTGGAAAATTATCTTGTCTATCTATTGCGCATTATCTTGGCACAACAGTACAACCGTTGTTAATTCAAACTTTCAATACGAATTCGTTATAATAAAATTGTCAAAACTGCTGAATTTATTGGTTGATATTTGTTGATTTTATGTTACATACAATTCTTGTAGTCAAGCAAAATATATATTCGGTCCATAGAGGGTTAATATCATAAGTTTCGTGTAAATTGCGCAGTAGGAAAGTTCTCTTTAGACCATGGGGGTAATTACCACCCCATATCAAACGAAAAAGTCGAATATTTTCTTGAATTATTGGGAACCTTCATGTCAGTATACTTATAAAAGCGAAGAAAAATTTTGTTTCATCAGTTTTGATGCTTAAATGATTCTCAATGTTTAATTATTTCAATTTGACACTTCAAAATCGCATATTTGTATTATTATTTGTATTATTGCATACTATTATTTTTGAGGTTATTAGATTTGGCTAAGCTTAAGATATAGATTCACTGCTAGTGAGAAAGTACATTTTGTGATTTAAAAAGAATTAATTTAAGCAGATCAAAGCTACAAAAGCGAAGAAAAATTTTATTTTTATCAATTTTGATTATTAAATGATTCTCATTGTTTAGTTATTTCAATCTGACACTTCAAAATTGCATATTTGTATTATTATTTGTATTATTGCATACTATTATTTTTGAAATTATTAGCTTTTGGTAAGCTTAAGATATAAATTCATTGCTAGTGAGAAGGTACATTTTGTGATTTAAAAAGAATTAATGTAAAAGGATCAAACTGTTTTTGAGATGTTTGTTCCACCAGTTTGAAAAATGTTTGGAAAAAGCGCGTTGAGAGTTAAACACAATTGAGAAACTTTTTGAAAGTGCTGAGAACCGGAACCTGTCCTGAACTAATAAAAGGGTGCATTTACTTTTAATTGAATGTCTAAACGCGATATAAAGTTTTTTCTCTTTTTTTTTAAATTAAATAAGTACTTGGAAACATGACCTATTTTATAGTTTGCAATATCAGCGTTTGATTTTGCAATAAAATGCGTTCCAACGAGTCAATATTGTCGAATGAATACGATGTTATTAGCTTTAGTGTTTTTCGCTGGAAAATAGATTTAAAACTGATACAAGAAATTCGTGTTTGACCTATTTTTCGCCATATCTGAACTGCGACTGTTTCCTGTTGCGCTAGTTTCACGTTTATCTTCGCGAGAAACTTCCTGTATAGCTACTAGAAATTCTCAAAGCCACTGTTCTTATAACGATAAGCGAGTAACTTTTATAGAAAACTACGATTCATCCAATGTATTTTTACACTCGAAGCGAAGATAGAAAATTATCTACGATTGTAAATTTTCGAACGTAATCAAAAATACTGTCTGTATGACTCGCTGGAATTGCAAAATTGGAAAGACAAATACGACGAGAATTACATCACTCTGCTCCGAAAATATTCCACTCGAATTTGTTTCACAATTTGTACAGCTTGTAACGAATCTCCATGCACGATACCGAAACATATTTTCCTGAAATATCAGTGTAACCTTAACACGTGTAAAAGTGGAAAATCATGTTTGTAAAAACGTAATGAAAGTACATAGTTTCTGCTCTGCTCGTGTTCTTTAATGTAACAGCGAATTCAGTTTCATAATTCACTATTGTATTCGGACAAACTAGGTCGTTGCTAGATAAACTTTATTATATTACCATGTAATAATTTCGATTTTTCACTTTTAATGGAAGCGAAATGATTAATAACCGTATAATAACCATCGATATCGTATTCAGAGATGTAGGACAGTAATGAGAGATATTCTCCTTGGTTTTTCTTTCATTCCTGTCCTCCCTCCCTTTGTTTAAATTTCGCAATTTAAAATGGAAGGAAAGCCGGAGAAATTGAAAAATGATTTTAATTTCAGTGCAACGGTGCATATTACCGTGGTGGATGTGAACGAGTATGCACCGCAGTTTCTGCAGCCGGCCTATGTGAGTACCGTGGACGAAGGTCGCCTATACGAAGAAGTCGTCCGTGTCGAAGCATCCGACAGAGATTGTACCCCAAAATTCGGTGACGTATGCAAATATGAAATTTTAACAGCCGACCAACCGTTCATCATCGACAACGAGGGAGCGATACGAAACACCGAGCCATTGGACTACGAGCGATCCCACAACTACATTTTAAGCGTGGTAGCCTATGATTGTGGCATGAAACAATCTGCTCCAGCCATGGTCACTGTTAAGGTCAATCGTGTCTGCGCGCCTGGATGGAGAGGAATTCCAGAAAGGGTTGATTATGCTGCAGGCGTAGGTTCTCAATCATTGCTTCCTTCCGCCAGATTGGATCTTTGCGATGCCCCCTGTATATTACGCAACGTTCGAGCCACGTTGACTCTTGCTACGGACCATATAGGGAAAGGTTGCGACCGTGACACGTACGGTGTGCGCAGCCAACGTAAGTTATGCGGTGCATCTCGCGATAGCGTAGATTTATTGCCAACCCCTGGGCCTACGACTTCCTGGACGGCATCTTTGTCTCGAGACGAAGGCAGGGAAGCGGACGAAATATTCGAGTTTGACGGCGTTGATTCCGCTGCTATTGTACCTAACGACGTGCTCGAGCACACTCTGGCACAGAAGTTCACGATTGGAGTTTGGGTGAAGCATCGACCTCGTCCTAGACAAGACCCTCATGTTAAAGAACATATTTTGTGCGCTGCCGATGATCACAGTAAGATACCTTTAATTTTTCTTCTCAGATAGAAATTTAGTAATATACGTTTGGAAGTTGTGTCATTAAACTATCTGTCGTTTGATTTGCAGAGATGAATAGACACCATTACGCCCTGTTTATCAGAAACTGCAGACTGATTTTGCTACTTAGACGCGACTTCTCCGAGGGTGATCCTAATATCTTCCGGCCTGCCGAATGGCGTTGGAAACTTAGTCAAGTATGCGATGATAAGTGGCATCATTATGCCGTTCAAGTCGACTTCCCTCGCGTGACTCTGTTCGTTGATGGAGAGGAATGGCACACGGACGAGAAGAATCCCGAAGTGATCGACGACTGGCCACTGCATCCTGCGAAAGGCGTTAACACGGCTCTTGTCGTTGGTGCATGCTGGCAGGGTTCCGACAATAAAACGAAGCATCATTTCCGTGGCTATCTGGCTGGGCTGTCCGTTCTAGTTGGACGAAACGAGAAACCGGATGTACTGTCATGCTTGCGCCGTTGCCAGGAAGGTATTCACGTGCCATCGATGGATCTGCTTCAACCGGGGACCCAATTGCTCACCAATTCCGACCTAACCGAGGTACGAATCGACGGAGATAATCGCACTAATGTCGAAACGCTCATTCGTCGTATTGGTTATTCCAACTCGAGACGGTTCCCTACCCCGGGCCGTCGTAATTTCCGTTTAGAAACAACAATTGTCTGCGAAGGTAGCGAAAACAGTCCGCTCCCGGTACCAACCGTTCAGTCATACGTTACCGTTCTACCACCACCACGACCAGGCATAACTGTCAACGGCACCGGATACGTGGCTAGGGAATACGCAGATTTTCGTTTGGGTGTACGCGTATTCCCAGATACTCGAGTCACTGCCGGTTCCGCTGCCAGATTGGATGCATGCGCGGTCAGTGTTTATCCGAGTCTGAATCCCGACCATGAGAGCTTAAGTTTACCCGGCAATGCTCTGCGTAGATTCCGTTCTATCACGGCACGTGTAGACCGGGATGGTGTTGTTCTCTCAGGTGCCGATACACCTTACAATTACCAACAGCTGATACGTCTCATCATGTACACGAATCACAAACCAGCTTACTATCTTGATCGTGTATTCAAGCTGACCTGCTCCGAACTCAGCGGTCGATTCGCTAGCAACGAATACGTACAAACTCTTGCCGTCATTCACCCGAAAGAGAAGACCACCGTTCTTCCTCATTCTACTCCGGACGAGCCACCGATAGCCAGAATTCTGGAACCAGTACCCGGACACCTGCAATTGTCGCCTCATCATGCAGATCTGCCGGAAGAGTATGCGACAGCTGCGCTTCGCGAAGGTACTAGGAGCATTGGAGGAGCGAGTAGTAGTCACGCAGTTACGATTGTCGCCGCTGCTTGCATCTGCTTCTTGCTCCTAATGGCGGTGGTCGGAGCAGCAAGAGTTAGAGGCGCTGCGAAAAGACGACCATCTGCCGGAGACGAGTTGGCTGCTGAAACCGAAATGGCTTGGGACGATTCTGCACTCGCTATTACCGTGAATCCGATGGAGAGGCTCACGGAACACGATCCACATCATCAGAGCCAGAGAGACGAGGACGTTGATGACTTGGAAAGTTTAGACTCGGAAGATGGATCATACAGAGATGACGACCTGGTCAGTTCCGATTGCGAGAATGATTGCGAGCTAAGCAATGCCCGACATCGCCGTCACAATTCACCTCATGACTTGGAATGGGATCATCGTGATGTTTAAATTACTATTCCTCAGCATTCACCATCCCCTTTCTTCGTGTGGTGGTTAAGTGGAGTACTAACACGTATTGTTTCTCATTATTCCCTTTTAAACGATCATTATTATTATTTTCTTTTCTTATGACGCTTCGTAATACATATAGAATACGTGTGCCGCTATTCTCTAGCGGGCCGCTTTGATAAATGAAACTTGAGCTATCCTAATAATCGCGGGTGAAAATTTTTCAAACTTCGATGCGTCTTTTAAAGAACATATTAACATTTTCGGTAATTAATCCGATATTCCTATGTATAAATACGAAAGCGTCGTATTATATCCGTCCCCATAGATGATGACATATTGGTATCGTAAAATGTTAATAAACCAACTAGTTAGTACTCTCCTTAAAAGCCAGGAAAATTTGTAAGAGAGTGCGGGACGCTTTATCGAATAGTTAAACTCTTTCTATCTAACAACACGCCCATTGATGTTGATAGGTAAAAGATACACATGGAAGATACTTAAGTTTACTGGGAAGTTCTTGGTAAATATTGGAAGCAGTTAATTTATATTTGTCTCTTATTACCGCTAATTATTATGATTAATATTACTATTACCGCTATTATTATTATGATTATTAATTATTATCATCACGATTACTTTTATTATCTTGTAGTAGTAGGACGAGGGAACTTTTTTATACTCTTAATTATCTTCTCCTCCTTTTATTCTATTTTATTCTATTTTATTCTATTCCACTATTACTTGTTACAAAATATTTACTAACGCTGACTATATATTGCTATTATATTCGATTATGATTTCCTTTGATACGCAGGACAGCCCGATAACGTAATCTGACTGTATAACGTTATCCAATTCAACCTATAATTCTTCCTTTGTTCTCGACTAAACTTTTTAACTCGACATTTGATCTCATATGTATACATATATCTATATTTTTTTCATAACAATCGAGTCTTTCATATTCGAATAAACTAAGTATTTAAAATCGTGGATACACCCATCTTTATATTAGCATGCTATCAATGAGAATGAACAATAAAAATGATATATATACATACATATATATATATATATATTTCATAATCGGTAGCACGTATAATCGGGCTGAGCCTAGGCCATCGTATGATACTTGCCCAATTTTCCACCTTATTTTTAAGTAAAACCTCTAATATAATTTGCACAATGTTCCTTCCTAATCAATCTACAAACTCTTAGCTCTTAGTAAGGACATTGCCGCGCATCTTATGATAGTGCTTCACCATTAAGTACGGTATAATATCATATCCGTATACATGTGCGCGCATGCATATAGATTTGTATGCAAGTTCATTGCGTATACAGACTGTATGGAGTACATGTGTATGTGCATGGAAACATGTGTACTTACATATACATACAGTGTCCGATCATTATTCTGTGGTGAGGAAGCCGTTTATGCGAAGGAGCAATTTATTCTTGGAAAAATAATGCGCAGCGATTCGACCAGCAAGGGGTACCGTTTGTTATTTTTTTAAAGGATTATCGTGCAATCGTACTCGTTTCATAGACGAAACTGATTTTTATGTGCCTTTACGCGACTAGTATGTTGAATTCTACTCTATATTTTAATAGCGAACACTCGAACTGATTTCCTATCAGTATCTCGCATGTTAAGCGTACCGCTCGAGCACTTCTCGAAAGCAACTGCTCTACTGTTGTTGTATTTTAAAACATAAACTGTTATAATGGCATAGGTGTTAAGGGGACAGACGCATAGGGAAATATTGGCTGTTCGTTGATACACGATCTGGCGCGTTCACCAAAAAATAACGAAAAAAAAAAGAAGAGAAAAACCGGAAAAAAATGTAACAAAAAAAAAAGAAAGATGGCGACAGAGGAAAAATCTAGGATGTGCCGTGTATCAAACGGAAGTGTGTATTTTACTGCTCGTGCTGGTGAACGGGCATGGTTCGTTTGTCACTGCATACATGCCTCGTACGTGCAATGATCCGCAGGGTATTAATTATCGACGAATGATCTCGTAAGTGACTGCGCATTGATACTCGCTACGAAGTAATGAAAGGATCTTGTGTATGTATTCATGTATCTAGAATTATACCGACCGATCGAATATTTAGTACTGAAAGTTTGTGTACGGATATCTATATTCATAGAAACTATATGAACAATTTATTTTTCCAACGAGCATATCATATCATTTTTATAAGAGATTTGTCAGAGGTTTGAAAACTTTTCGTAAGAGCTCCTACATAGCAACTCGCTATCGTGTTACTTGCCATAATCGCGACTTGTTTCTTTCACGTTTATTTTCGAACTACTTCCTTTTGTTCTGTTCTCCATCCTTTTTCTTTGTCTCTTTTGTCACGTTCGAGTAAGGATATGTGCGTTATCTTCGTGCGTTCTATTTTTTTTTTTCTTTTCCTTTTTCTTTTTCGTTGAAAAAGTAAAGCTCTGATCGAGGGAAAACACAATGATGCGTCGGTTAAGTATTCGAAGTGTCGTGGAAGAAACGAGAAAAGAAAAAAAAAAGAAAAAGGGAAAAAAATCATAAAAGAAAAAATTAAGCGAAAATGACAATGGTCGTTAAAAGTCAAACGGAAGAAAAGTACGCTGCTGTTTTGTTCTGTTTTCGTGTTCCGTTTTCACGAGAGCGCACATGTACGACACATGCGTATGCGCGCTTCAGATTTCTTCGCAAGTTCCGCGTGAATAGACGAACCAACATGCTGTTGCAAATTTTCGATCTATTATCTGATTTACAATCTCGGTTCGTAGTTCTTGCAAACGCAATTAAGTTATTCTCGAAGATATATCGATCTAAACGCATTTCACTTATGTACGGTGTAATACTCGAGAAAACTATTCTACTGGAAAAAGGAAATTCTGCTGGAACTTCCTCTCTTTTTATGGGACTATACATTCTTTATACACACATACACACACATGTACACGTCGAGGATCGTGGAGTTTGTCGTGAACCATAGAAAAGAAAGAAGCAAGACGAGGAATACGATCGATCGATTCCTTCTTCGATTGCACAACACAGCGCCCCCACGGACCCTTTCTTGAGTCTTTTACACGGCATAAGTATACAATCTGAGAACTGCACAATAGAGTATAAATGCTGGCTTTCGGAGCATTAGGAGCGCGAGAATTCGAATCGCGGTGCATTCTGTGCCGGAAGTCGTTTTCGACCAGAGTATCTGTCGACGACTGGAGAGTACAGAAAGGGAGCATTCTTTTGTTACCCGGTCTAACGAGCCATTTTGAGCTAGATGATATATATATGGGTGTGTATATATATATATCAGAGAGACTCGTTTTTCTCGGCTGCTAGCGAAGATGTTCGTAAGAGAGAACGACACCATTGCAACCTAACTAGGTGTACACGCCTGCTCTAAAGATGTACTTAATTATATTAATTGTATGGAGAAGAAAAGAAAAGAAAAGCAAAGAAAGAAACTACGCAGAACAAAACCAACTAGATGATACTATTATAATATATATTATACATAAAAATATATCTAAGCTGTTTGCAAATGATGATTTAAGAGATGAAAGAGGAAGAAAAAAAAAAAAAGGAAAAACAGAGAAAAGAAGGTATGAATTTGTAATGTATTATTGTATTTTGTAGGCAGCTAGTGTACGTATACATATGCACATGTATCCGTGTATGTATGTTTACGTATAAGAATATACATACTCTTCGACATTTACACGTACCGTTCGCCTAAATAGTCTGCAGAATATTTTCAATTTTACATCGGTCCAAGCTGAAACAATTCAGGAGTACTGTTCGCGTTCATAAGAATCAAGTGTGACACTCAAACCGCGAATTTTTGTTCCTGAATGAAACGCTTGATCCGAATTCGTTAGAGCACTTGGGCGCACGGCAGATACACATAGTACGCTCTTGCCTCTAATTCGTATACAAACGTACGTATACCCTTGATGGAAAATAAAAAAAAAAAAAAAAAAAAAAAAAGAAAGGCCACAAAAGCTACGTGCGTAGGTACGTGTCTGTCACGTAATTGAAATACTTCAACGTTCAGTAAAATACAGAAAAGAAAAAAAGAGATAAAATACCAATCCTACGATGACGTATTGAATTAAATAATCAACTATACCGACTATATAGCTAGGCCGTAAGCGACACGTTACGGACCGACTAAATTCCCTCCCGTCGCAGATTGATTGTGTGTTAACTAATAAGGTTAAGTAACGATATAGTACCGTTAAGGAATTTAATTATTAATACTGATACTATCTGTACGCTAAGCACAGTTTCAAAGTGACGTGAAGTATGGCTAAGGCGAAAAAAGATTATAACACGAGTCTTAATTTAAACATGTGACACACTGAGTTACTCGGCGCGTCTGCACGCGACGCACAGAAACGTCAAATTACCTTGTTATCCTGCAACTGAGAAATGTTCGACAAGAGAAATATTAGCAATAGTACCGTACACAAAGAAACATACATGCATACATATATACATACATACATATATACATACATACATACATACGTACATCCACATCATACACATTGTCACACACAACAGTAACACGCGCGGCCGCATATACACGCTGCACAGGCTAGGAAAATGAAATACTATCTATAACGACATATTATAAATAACATTAAGACGTCAACTGTATTTGTTTAATAAAGATGTACATTCGAAAGGTGAAAGAACTAACTTTACAGCCAATAGGACGCATTGGAATTTGATAACATGTATATTTGTTTTATATGCACATACTGATATTACTGCCTATATTTTTATAATGTGCTATACAATTATAACATTTGATGATGTTTTGTTTCACTACTTTATGACAAAACGGGAAAATCGAGAAACACAACTTTTAGTGTATAATTATATACACTATAAAATAATAACAATTAAAATTGATTATTAAAGTTTGTATCTAAAATATATAAAAAATTTTATATACTTTAATATGTCCTATAGGCTGGAAGGTAGTTAATATTAATTTCTTCCCTCTTAATGTGTAAGAAATAAGATTCTTAGTTGAATAGCAGTTATTAAATTACGATTTATTACATATTTTCAATTTAAATATGACATTTATATACATATTAAAATTCCTTATTTATTCAATAAAATCAATTAAAATTATTTTGTTAAATATACTATTTGATAATATTGGAAGTATCAAATGAGTATTTTCGCTGTATTTTTTGGATTATTATCATTCATTTTAGTTTTTAGTTTTAAACGTTTGATAAAATAAAAGAATACTCTTTATAAATATCAGAATTTTTTAATTTAATATATGTATATATGTAATATACATATATTACATACATATATATAGAATTGAATTAAAATTTTTTTCAATTAGCAGCATCAATTGCATATGTATACAAATGCTGCAATACTATGCCATTTTTTGAATTTTTATTAAATAGTTTTTACTTAATAACCTTTTCCATGCATTTAATACATATCATATATTTACAATTAAATACGATACGTAAAATGTAAATAAACATTTCCGCGATTTAATAAATAAAAGTGTAAAAAACGTTATTTGCATTTCTTAAGAATCAAATTACGTAACATTATCTATTTTTTTTTTTTTAATAATTTTTTATGTAACATTTGAATTTATTTGAATATGACATCTTCCATTACTTTTCAAAGTAAGAGAACTTACTATCAATTCTTTCTTTTTTAAGTTACACAACTTAAAACAAATTTTAACTATATTATTTTATGAAAAATTTCATCGATGTGTCGAAAATACTTTTCAATATCGATATCCAACTGGGAATACCAATATTTATTTATATTCTTTTGTGAATATTATAAAATGTTTATAATTAAGTTTCACTCATACCCATGGTGTGAATTTATGCTGTTCCAGTTGAATATGCAGACATTTTTATTCATTAGTAGTATTTAAATACTTAAACGATAATGCAACTTTCATAAAATAATAAGTTGCAACACCAGTCTTAACAATATATAATTTTACGATGTTCAATCCAATTTGATTACTGTACAATGAATATATTAAGTGATATTATTTGTAATTCATATAATTTATATGAACTATAAATAACATCTTATTAATTAGGCTGTGCACGTTCAAAAAACGTTAAAACATTCCATGGTTTTACAATATTATATCAACTAAATAAATTGATTAATTGAATTTAACTATTACCCATTACTTAAACAGAACTATTATTTTAGAAAATGAAATGACAAAACGATTGCGGTCAGAAAATGAATATGTATTGTTTTGGATTAGTCTCTATTCTCTTCCTTTGATTACCTTTACAATAAATAATATATTGTTCTTTCTGTATCAAATAAATGTTTCATGGAGAAATATCGCTTTTAATATTTTTTACTTGGTTTATATCTCATATGTTTACTGCAAACAGCAGCTCTTATCTCAGTATCAGCAAACGATAATTGTTGTTTGTTCACCACTATGAGGTGAAAATAATTTTATATTTTCTGCGTTCCAATGTAAGAGTGCACTATGACATACAACACTCCACACATAAGGAATGAAGAATTCCTCTGGTTGTTCCTCTTCTACGTATTTAAATTTTAGTTCTGGAAATTTCTATATAGAAAAATTAAACAATACAATTAAATGAAAGTAATATAAAAATGTACAAATAAAATAATTATATAATTTACACTTATTTATACTTGAGAAAGAAAACTTATTTAAATGTTTTATTTAATTTAATTTGTTTTCCTTTTGTTTATTTCTAAAAAATTCGAATGATTTTTCTCTATTTCTATTATAATTAATCTGCTTATTTTAAAAGTTTTAATAAATATATAAAATATATATCAATGGGCATATGTTAAAGGAAAATTTTAATTAAATGAAAACTAAATATAGACGAAACATACCCTTAAACGGTCATGTGGCCATTCACTAGTACCTTGCTGAATTGTAGTTAATACCTGACTTACGCCAAGTTGTGATTGATCCTTTTGTTCCAATTTATAAGAAAAAAAATTGATGACCTGATGGATAAAATTAATTTATTTTATACACGAAGTAATTAAAATTTGTTTGTTATCGCCTAATTCAGAACAAGATATTTGTAGAGTATTTTATATGACTACTTACAGAATCTATATTTTGCACAATGTCTTGGAACGCTGAATGCGTTCTAAATGGTTGAAAAATATCTTTCTTGTATAAAAGGGTATATATTAAGTTTGGATTGTGTGCAAGTCTATGAGTTAAACAGCTATTTATGATCTCTAATACCATTCGTAAAACTTCTTCAAGTATTGTCAAGTCTTGGATCTAAAATATAGTATGTTTAATAAATAGATTGTTTAATATAAATTATTTGCTCTATAAAATATTATAAAATTTTACCAAATCTGTATTTGCCGTTGTTCCATTAATTGTAATAGTAGTGCTGTCAGAAGGAATAGAAGGCTGCGTGCGTATTTTTATTTCTAATCGAGCATGCTTTTTTGCAAGAGTTTCAAACAAACTTAGTAACCTTTGACTAACATAAGGATGTAAGGATGTAAACTGTGCAGACATATTTGCTAAAGCTGCTAAGCAATTTGTATGAAGATATTTATCCTGCGAAATATAAAAGATGCTTTATTTGATATTGTACTAGTTTTCTGACATATTCATTATTTGCTTTGCTCATTAGCTTACTCTCATTTTAAACATATTATATTGTATAGTTCTTATGACGACAAGAATTAAAAGACCTCCTAATGATATTTCACTTATTGATCTTTCAGTATACCAACTCACACCCTTAAGCATCTGAAAAATAATAATTATTATTACCTATTGGAAATTTTCTATATTTACATACATTTGTTAATAAATTAATGAAATAGAAATGAATTATTTCATAAAAATACTTACTATTTCATGTATTCTTTTGTTAAATGTTTCATCTTCACTTAAAATTAAAAGAATAATGAGGGACATATAAATATGGTGCGATGTATTGTTTGGGGCATGATATAATATTTGAAGTATTGGCGTTACCTATGTAAAAATATTAATTAAAATTTTTATAACGTGTTTTATATTTACAGTATTTTAATATTATTTAATAAATTAACGAATTTATATTAACCAATAATTGTATATCTGCTCTTCTCATTATATCTTGTTTTACACTTGAATTCCTATGTAGTAACATATATAATAATAATGTAACTTCATCTGTGTTTGGTATTTTACATATGGTACTATACAATTTATTTAAATTAAACTTAAACGCGCTTTTCATTTGCATTGTGGAATAATCTTCTAAAAAATATATGTAATTTTTTATATTATTTAATGGTATAAATGCTTATAATATTTTGTAATTAATTTGGAAATTAATTGAGTTACTAACCTTGCATGTCAACAAATGTAAAAAGTGCATTCCTATAAGGATTTTGAGTTGCAGTACAATGATTTGTTAATACCAATAACAATAATAATGATTGACTAGCAAGAGGGGTTTCCGTATCACGTTTTCGTTCTTCTTCTTCAGAAGTACCATTGCTTGTAACTTGTACATTTTTTAAGCTACTACCCATTCCCATTGTAATTACATTCCATAACCCAGCTGAAACGTTTTAATACAATAAAATTTAAATTAAATACAAAGATATATTAATAGTATTTGTTTATGAAAGAAAGATTTGTACTTGATGCAAAATATAATGAATTATTGAACTTACCAGCTATACTGAAAACAATACTTCCTCCTGGTTGCTGTGTAAGTAAACCAGGAGGAGCATGTTCTTGTTGTACAAAATTATGCAATAATGTACACACCATTGCTGGTGCATGTTCACTAGAATGTGAATGCATGGCTATTCTGTAGATAGAGCTGTATTCAGCTGCAGTTTGTGAAAACAGTTGCACAGAAAGTAGTACAAGTAAGCAATTTATTGCTTCTAGATGAACGACATATGTGAACTCACTATGAAAACAAAATTTGTTATATAAAATGTGATTATATATAGATTAATTCAAACATTGCATGTATCAAATAACTTATTTAGTTTATAATAGACTTCTTAATTAAAGTTAAAAATATTGCCATCTACTTACCATAATGGAACATCTGTTATTATATCAACTAATGCTTCAAAAAGATCTTTTAATCTATAAGATGAATTTGACTGTGCTGGCATTAGTGATTGTGGTGCTTCTATATGCTTTATCATTTCTTCCTCGCCAACTGTTTCAATTAAATATTTCAATATACATCTTACTGCAAACAATGCATTATATGTTTGCCATGCTGATATGATTCTATAAATTATAATTAGGTATAATATAAACAATAATATATGAATCATTTTTTTAAATTATACAATATTAAAATATAACAATAAAAATATCATACTTTTGATTTTGCATTGGTGCAAGTAAATTACTAGCACGCATAAGAGCAACTCGTATTAAACTACCAAAATTGCCAGTATTTAAATTATTAGCAAGTAATTGTTGACACGAGGAATCCAATCGAGAATCTAATTCTATTTGGTCATTTCTTGTAACAGGTGGTCGCATATTGTAAGACAGGAAAGTATTCCAAAATGGATCATTTGGAAGAACACTCTTTTTTCCACAAAAAGTCTCTAAATAAACGTTTTTAGACAGATCATCATATCGACTCGGTGTTGTACCCATTGCCTTGTCTTAAACTTCTAAAAATAAAACACACATTGAATTTTGTTTTATAGTAAAAGATTTAACATATTAATGAAACATGTTTATTTGCAAAATATTTTTTATTTTTATTTTAACATATTAGCAGCAATATATATTAAATTCTGATAATTTCACAATATAGTTGAGATATGTTATATTCCTTTACAAACTGTATATGGTTATAATAAAAATATGACTCATGGATTACACTAATATTATATCAATAAAATAAAAAGAATGCAGGACATGTCAATCACATGAAAACATCGTATAATAACAACTTTGACAATCCACTGTCATAGAAATGTAATAATTCAGTAATGGTTTTTAAATATGAAATTTTGTTTCATATACTATTGTCTTTATGCCCCTTTGTGTTTTCCGTGTCAAAATTATCATTAAACGTTTTTTACAATACGTTTATAGGCACTATGAATACGAGAAACACGAAGAGATATAACCTCTTCACATGTCAACCAAGAACTTCACAAATATATAGATAAATCAAAATGAGCGCCATCTTCGTTATTCATTAAATATACATAGTCAATTATTTACAATAATAATAATTTGTAATTGCATTTAACTATGACGTTTAAACATATATTAAAAATATAAAAAGGTAAAAAAGTATACGTTGTGCATAACACATGGAAAGACGTTCCACATCATTCAGATGACGTATTAACATATGTAAGCATACAAATGGAGCATGTCAATGAATCGGTTATTTGATCTTACTACTTCAAAACGATCATATTATCTTGCAAATATATTTTAATACAAGTAAAAATACAATATTGATTCGGAATTAATATTTTTAATATTGTATATTTCAATAAATAAAGCCACCATAAAATGAAAACCATATCCTTAAAAATAGACCTATATTTATTCGAATCGTATTAAACTAGCAAACTTAATACATATGTATAACTTCAGTGAAAATTAAATATTTATAAAATGTATATATAGATCATTATATTACATTTCTTGTAGAAAAGAAACGGATTTAAAACGGATTTGTAAAATGAATCTTTGTCTATATTATCATTCTTTTTCTTAATTAGAAAGCTGTTAAAATGAATCATCATCACGAATTATTACAAACCGAAGAATTATATTATGAGTTTATAGATGTAATAAAATCTGCTATTAAAGCAATGCAACAACAAGTTTATCCCATTAAGAAATTTCTTGCCAATCGTAAAAAAGAAATTATTAAGCAAAGCAGGTTGGTTCGTAAGTTTTACAATAAATTTTTAAAATAATAGTTTAAAATTCTATAAGTATTTAAATTTGTGTTTAATTTATGATCAAATTTAATAAAAACAAATTCTTTAATACGAGTAATTGAATAAAACGAAACATTTATTAATAAGGTTATAATAACCTTAATAAAAATTTGATTATAAGTTTGAAAGTAAAATTGTAAGTAAAATTAAAAGTAGTACATCAAACAACTTTTAATTTATTTCATAATTATTTTGAAAAAACTTGATGAAATTAATTTGAACATTTATCTTAAATTTATAATAGAAAATAATAAAAAATTGATGTCATATAATAATTTAAAAATTAGGTGACATTTTAATTTAAAATACAGCTATTATAGTATGTTATATCATTCAAAGTATTCTAAAAGAATTCTAAACAGTTCATTTCCTAAATTATACAAATGTACTTTCAAATTTATACTATTATGTAATTATAAATAGCAATTATAATTTTCATAGAAATTATTTGTAATGTTTTATTTAATTTATTTTATGTGCTTGTATGTCAGTTTATGAATATAAGTATTGCTATTTTGTTATATAAAATCAAACATAGAAAAATTATAATTCAAACATAAATAAATGTATAATATTAAAATTATTATTAATATATGCTCAGTTATTAATTACATTTGTTATTTTTGCAAGTAGTACAGGCAGAAGAATCGACAATACAAGTATCGCAGAATTTACACAAATATTCTACGAGTACACATTAAAGGAAGTCATGAATATTGAACAAACATTTGAAGAATACCTCACACGGTTGAATGTTGATTTATTGAAGGCAACAATAACTCGCATGCAACTACCGTCTTATTTATCTCCGGAAGAAATGAGAAGAGCTCACGAAATGTGTTACAACATATTCGACGAGAAAAAGGACGAGGTATCTTGTCGTTGTATTTGGGAGAATAAAACAACATGGGATCTCGATGACACCCAGGACATCCTAGTTAAACCGAGGAAAAAGGCACGAACGGAATTCGATGAGACTGACCTGAAATTTATACAAGAAATCATTTACCTTAGAACGGAAACATTCTCTTTACCAAAGAAACGAGTCGATAAGTATGTAACTCATTTTAATATATCATTATTTTAAGATAACGTGGGAAATTTACAATCAAATTTATAAAGAATATTTCACGAATATAAAATCAACCTGAAACTCTTGATCTAATTACTGCATGAGATATTACGTAATAAATAGTACAATTACAAAATGGACGATTTGAATAAAAAATGTAGAATAATAATTTTTCGTTTGCTGCTTATATATTATTTCAAATGTACTAGTAATTAATTGTAATTAAAAGGATATAATATATAGATATTCATTCAGTCATTGTATCAAAGAAAACATCAAACAATCATTATTGCGTATTTTTACTGTAACTTTTTAACAAACCTTTTATGAGGCTATTTCTGTTTACATGATATACTTTCCTTGTTTTTATTCATCGAGTCGTATATATCCAGTAAATTTATAAATTATGATACAAGCTTAAATTTTTATTAGTAGAAGTGGTAATGAAATCCTCACCGCGCCTTTCAATGATAAACAACGATCCAGTATGCGGCTGGTTATGAAGACTACAGAGTTTCTTCATTTTCTTAAACAGAGAGAAACTCCCTCTACCTTTTCTTCCGAACACGAACTGTCCAAATTGAGCACCTTAAAATTTATCGATGGAAAGTTCACAACTAACGACATCTGGGTGAAAATCTTAGATGTTCACGGTAATGAATATGGATCGAAGTGGTATTTGATACTTTGCCCACAGATCGAAAAAATTGCAACAAGACGTGCGATACCTGTGCTACATTTGAGTCCCCTTGCCACATTTTATTTCATCTCAAAGATAACGAACTTCACAACTTTTCATTTAACAAGAACAGATTTAATTAAGTTGTTGAAACACGAAAAAGATGCTATTTGGTTAAATAGTTGGACATTACAGTTTCGTATGATCGATCGTAAATACGTAGCCGCGACAGTGATACAAACTGCTTGGCGTGGATACTGGGTAAATATTATTTCTTTTAAGATGAAAAATGTTAGAGAAATATTACCAGAGTCTTTATATCCAACACCTTTAACGTATATACATTGAATATATCATATATTTTTCGTTTGTTTATATCTTTATTGTTTATTTTATTTGAATAAATTAGATTTTGGAAATGTATATTTAACAAAACCATTACACACTTACATAGTTACGAAAAAGGAATTGGCACTCGGGACGTCTCTATATAGCCGCCAGTCTAATATGGTACTATTGGATCTCGTTGAAAGAAAAGAGAGAAATGCACCGACGTTATCTGAAGAAAATGTTGGTCTCCTTGCAATGTACGCGAGATCTTACTCTGAAGCTCAGCAAGGAATACGATGAGTTAATACAACAACCACACGTAGTTCTACATTTACCATCCATCGGTCATCCAACAGAGTTACGTCAAGTATTCAATCCAAGAATGTTCGCTATTTACCAAAATATCACAATCCTACGAATTTGTTTCGTACACAATCCGAATACGGAAGTGGTTTACATCTTACCCGTGAAGCCCACTCGAGATCTATTAATGATGTACAGTGATTTTATCGAGTCGATATCACCCGACGAAGATATTGCTAAAAGAATTTCGTTTATTGCACTTTCCCAAGCCGAAATCTTCAAGAATCGTGCTTTAAATGTTTCTAGGATTCTTCATTGTTCCCAAGGATCTTTCACCGATATTAAAAAGAAAATTGCCGGTAAAGCTGCTTACTTTTTACCATGTGTTGTCGACGAGTGCGATATGAGGTTATCTGGCAGTCTCAATGTCCCCTTAATGAGTCCTGATATGGAAATGCAACGAATGTTTCTAAATGCATCCAACATATCTGAAATGATCGACAATCTTGGTCTCTTGCAGCCTCCTCACAAGAAAAATATAACGGATTACGAAACTCTGTGTATGTCACTGTCTGAGTTAATGGTTCTGCACACAGAGGTTAGCACGTGGTTGATCAAGTTGAACTACGGTACGACGAGTAAGCAGAGTGGAATTTTTCTGATCAATCATATCAGTGTTCCCTTCATGCCTATACTCAGACGAGAACGAGAGAAACACGGTGAATATTGGGAAATGCAACCCAGTTTAAGAGAACAATTTCTCCAGAGAATGAAGAAGCATATACCAAGGGTTATACCCAATGTGATTCGACTGTCAAAAATGTACAGTACCTGGGACACGTTCTATGAGCACATACAGAAGTTTGGTTGCCTACTGCAGGCAATTCCAGCGGAGAAGAATCCCAAGACGATTTTATCTGCCTTGCTCGTTCCAGGGAAAGTAACAAAACAGAAACCAAGATGGTTAGGAACTGCGGATAAATTTAATTTGGGTATCATGCTTTTAAATACGTTATATATTGTGTGTTGTTCAGAAAATTATTCATATATACAAATGAGCATAGTTTTGTTAATGTAATCAGAAAAACAGAGCTATACGAATTTTAAGTATTGCTCGAATGATCTGTATTAACAAGCAAACTGAGAAAACTTCAAGTGGGAATTTGACAGGTGGCGCCACATGACTCATTTTCTATACAACACGTGATACCTATCGAGACGTATAGTCAGTTTCAATGACATAGGGTAATCATGAAACTCATCGAACGAATAATTACAAATGTAATTGTACAAATAGTAGCTCGAGATATTTATTTCTATGAAATTATTAGTGGAAAATCAGGAATGTATATATTTTGTTATCAAAATATTTGTTGAATTTTTAATTGACAACATTGAACAAAAATCTTCTAAATATCTGCTTGTAATTTATGAATCGTCTATTTTAAGAACAGAAGCGACATACTCGACAACCATTTACATGCTGCCACAAACTTCTGTGGATATCACCAAAATACAACCGACAGTGAACAAATTCGCCAAGGGTATGCAAGATAAGGGATACTTTGGTTATTTAGGAGTCGATTGTTATTGTTATTTGCATAAGCAAACGGAGAAATTGGTGGTATTACTGTTAAACGTGTTTCCTTATTATTCCTACTCGCAAAGTTACATCGATTGGATGAAATTTGCAATTGGAGGAAATTACAAGTAAATGAAACAAGTCGAAAAGAACTTTTTGACGAATAAAATGTTAATATTAGTAGTAACATATTAATAATAAAATGTTAATACCGTTAACGAAAAATTTCAAAATTTTTAATGTAAATTCTTTTGAAAAGATATATCAGTATTTTATCAGCATTGCAATTCTTCAGCGAAATAACTTGTTTGAGAAACAGAAAATATTAATTTCGTTCAAATTAATATTTTATATAGTTTTTGAAATACATCATTTGAATGTATGAGTAAGAGTCAGGTTATTCAAAGTATAATAACTGGTTTAAATAAATCATTCTTTCGTTGAAATATTTTTTTGAAAAACTATATTAATTAAACAAGAAATATTTAAGGACTGTTATTTTTTATTTAAATAGCGAACGACACGATAATTTTGTAACTAATACCCCAGTAACACCACAATTAGCAAGAAGAAAATCATCGTTTATATTTATGGAAAGAACACCAAAGTGGCACGAAACCTCGGAAAGATACGCTGTCGCAATTACCCAACTGCATCATAGTAAATTTGCCACTTACCGATGGCCAAGTCTCAAAAACATATTTGAATTATGTGACGTACGTTCATATAAGGTCTTTTTAAAATTATAAATTTTGTTTCTTTCCATTTAATAATACTTCAAATGTAGAACAAGAATTTTGTATAATCGCATCAAAAAATATAAAGGATCGTACATTTTGTAAATAATAAAGTGGAAAATTTGTGAATTGATATAAATTAGTTCTAACGAATTAAATTTTGTTCTGTTTACAGATCGTGTATGATAGAAAAAAACGACAGGGATCGAGTATAATATTACACGATGGCGAGATTCGAAATTTCGGCATGATGGTTGCGGTGAGTCCCGCCATGACTACTACGTTAACCATGATGCATAAAAATCTGAAGAAGCTGCATCGAACTTTAATGACGAAATCGAAGATAAAGGCGGAAACTAACTTACCGACACTTATCGAGTTCTTTCGGAACCTTTCCCTCGATTATCAGAATGTGGTTGCCAGCAAGTGTTTAACGGATATTTAAATCACACTTGCAATCAAATGTCGCTTTTTAATCCTTTGTATAGGTAATATAGAATATAATAAACCCTGATTTTTCCAACTTTTCTATTTCATTCGAAATTTACGTTGTCACGTGTAATCGCTTTAATTCGAAATTCGTAATTTATGCTTAATCACTTATCAAACAATTAATATTTGGTTATTCGATTGCAATAATTAACGAGTTATTAATTGCATTAATAACATTCGACATAAATGAAATAAGGAACTGTTGTTTATCAATTTTCAGACGTTGCTAAATTCAAGGGTCATAAAGCATGTAATTTGGTTATGCGCATCGATATAGATATTAATTATTTTATTAAGCCTTGATAAAGGTTAATACGGTATTTTCCCCGAATTTGGAACATTAACGCCGTCTAAATGCATGATTCAATGTTATTGTTAATTAACCAAGATCGGGTGCTACCTGTTCATGCCAACTTCATCATTGGTGGACTGTCAGGGTAAAGAAATGATTAATGTATTTATTGATATACTGATACACGTGTAATGCATATTTCTCTTCTTCAAACTTCCTCTTCAAGATATAATCTAATTAACTTTGCAATATATTTTTGCAATAAATTGAAGTTAAATAATTACCTTGCTTAAAAGCAGTCTTCTATTTTTATTTCTGTTTTATCCAATTATGCATAGAATGCTGTATGAAAGATAAAATGTTTTTAATCAATACACTATTCTCCAGTGCCATAGGACAAACCACAACTCATCCCATGGATGTAACTAAGGTACGAATGCAAATTTCCAACACATCATTGACTACAACTATACGCAACACACTAAAAGAATTAGGAATACGTGGATTTTATATTGGTTGGAGTGCAGGTGTACTTCGACAATTAACATATACCACGACGAGGCTTGGAATATACAATACGATATTCGACTTATGCCAGTACGCATATTTTTACATTTTATTTAGAATTATATATGTACGTAAGAATCAATTTTTCGAAAAGATAAATCATCGAGGAATAAAATTTAATAATGGTGTACATATGATGTATATATACAGGATGTCCCAACAATGGTAGTACAACCGGAAAGGAAGTGATTCTACATGCAGAAACGAACCGACAAAAAAGAATAAAATTTTTTTATTCGAAGCTTCGTTTTCGAGAAAATCGACTTTGAATATTCACCGAGTGCACGTGTACTTAGCTATGGCATATATGAATAAACCATCAATACATTAATATCGGTGGAACACTCGAGGAGGGGGTTATGCTACGTGAAAAAATAAATCGAAAATAAAGAATAAAATTTTTTCATTCGAAGCTTCGTTGTTGAGAAAATCGACTTTGAATGTCATTGGGTACGCGTGCACTTGACTTTCGCTATGGCGGATGGACCATGAGTATACCAGCATACCCGGTGGAAATTCAAAGTCGATTTTCTCGACAACGAAGCTTCGAATGCAAAAATTTTATTCTTTATTTTCGATTTGTTTCTTCATGTAGAATCACCCCCTCCACGATTGTACCACCTATATTAATATATTGATGGTCCATATATCTCAGCCATAGCTAAGTGCACGCGTACTCGGTGAATCTTTTTAGTCGATTTTCTTAATAAGGAAGCTCCTAATGAAAAAATTTTATTCTTTATTTTCGATTTGTTTTTTGATGTAGAATCATATCCTCCTCGTTTATACCACTGTTTCTGGAACACTCTGTTTATGACATAGTGTATTTATGCAAGTTTGTAAATAATGGAAGATTGTTTATAATATTTAGAGGATACTTTGGCCGCCTAAATTACCCTACAATGATCGCTATTGGAATGTTTTCCGGCACTGTGGGCTCTTTCGTTGGGACACCTGCCGATTTGGTTTTAATTCGTATGATAAGTGATATACAGTTACCACCACGTGAGTATAAATTTCGATTATATTACTGGGAGATATAAATAAATGTTTCATTGCATCATTAAATTATTACATTTCTTGGATTCTAAATTATTAGATTTAGAATATTCAAATCATTAGATAAAATTATGTTAGTAGATCCAAGCTGATAATAACTTTACTGATTAATAATTGATTACTTATTTTAATCAGAGTTGCTGAAAATACAGTACAGTCATTCTAGACAAAATTAATATTTAAAGCAATTTTTTATTTAATCATTTAGTTGCATAATTCATTGTTATATATGTATACTATGTTTAAGTATATATTGTAAGTCGACAGTTCCATAGAAAAAAATATATAATAAAATAAAAATATTAGAAAACTAAAGTAATCGATATTAATTAAAAATTAAAACGAAGAGCAATAATACTTCGATTAATAACAAAAAATTAGGCACTCGCTTGTGAAAAAGGTTTTTAATTTATTAAAATTTGGAGTTACAGAGATTTGATTGCAATTCGATTAGTAATCAGTGATTAGAAGCTTATTATAGATCGTATCTCGATATTTCGTCGAATCTTTTAATATATTTTTAATGAAAGCATAAGGAGATAACATAAATAAATAAATTACAATTTCGTCTTTCGATTATCCGATATTTTTCCCTTGATCCAGTCAAATATTGAAAAGACACGTAAATCGGAGAACAACTTTTTAGAGAAACGGCGGAATTACAGAAACGCCTTTACCGGGTTGATCGACATATGGAAGACAGAGGGCGTTGTTGGGTTATGGAGAGGAGCTGTTGCAACTATGACTAGGGCGGCCATTACGAATGGAGCGCAGTTGGGCACCTATAGTAGAGCGAAATTAATGCTGGAAGAGACAAGTAAATATCGAATAAAAATTTTAAAAAGATATTAAGCTATCGCTTGTATAAATTCGTGAAATGTAATTGCTTCGTGTTAATTTCATATGATAAACTGAAATAGTCTGTTGGTTATTTTGTGAGTTTAGAAGGTTCTAGTTCTAAATCAAATTTATTACAGTTTATTTAATCGATATTATTTTAGTTTTACGTTTGACGTTTCGTTAAAATTTTTGAATATTATTCGAAGCTTAAATTCGAATTAATTGATACAAATATTAATACGGTAAACACTATTAATTACATTACATGATTATATATTAAATAGAGGCAATAATAACATAAATAAAGGAATGTTTACCACGTTACATTAGAATGTTTTAAAAATTAGGATTAAATTTTATTTTATAACTAAATTTGAATTTAATTTAAACGCATTATTGAATTTTAATCTAATATAATGTTAATAACTATAGATTTGTTCGAAGAAGGCATACTATTGTCATTCTGCTCAGCAATGATATCCGGATTAGTTATGTCGGTAACGTCACTTCCTGTAGACGTAGTTAAAACCAAGTAATTAACAGTTTTTTAATAAACTAACATAATTACCTTATTCACCAATGACCTTATTTGCTAATAATTACCTTATTTACTATTTTCTTTCTTTTCTTGACGCTTATCAGCATTTTTACTTACCATTATTTATTTCAGATTACAAAACTGGAACTTACCTACAAAACCACCAGGAATCATCAAAATGATAATTAACACAGCACGGACGGAGGGAGTACCATCGCTGTGGCGTGGATTTTTGCCATACTATTGTAGGGCGACACCCAATGCTATAGTTACCATGACATGTGTCGATCAGTTCAAACGTATGTATATTAAATTCTTTGAAACGGAATTGGAGTAAGTGAAATTTTAATTTACAAGCATTAAAAGTGTTTCACACTGATAAACAAAATTTTAATTCTTTGCTATATTACGTCTTTGTTTTATTACGTTTGTTATCGTTTATATCTGGAGAATATAAACTATTGTTTAAGTCGAATTCTTTTATTTCTGCGATTTGGTAGGAAAAATGTAATATTGTAGTCACTATTAATCCGGTAACTAGAGAGGATAGCTTAATAGCTTACACTTGGAATTTAGAATGGAAATTATTTATAGCTGTCTTTAATTTCTGCTTTGGATTTGTATAAAAATTTGTTGAAATTAATTTCCTCAAAAATTCATAATATTTTTAAAAAATTTCTCTTCGATAAATGGCATCGAGCTGTGAGCTATTCGATATTTGCACTGGTGAGACTGTGGTAGAATTTAATTAATTGCAAAATAAAATAAAACAAATATAAAATTCCATATCTCATTTGCGATTATAAAATATTTTATCCCGTATTTTACATATGATTTCGCACTCAAGTTTAATTTTAGTTTAATAATTGAAAGTTATTAACAAATTTTTTAAAATTAAAAAAAATATAAAAAATTTAATTTTAAGTTTAATAATTGAAAATACAGTGAACAATGTAATTTTATTCTATACTGAATCGGTAACGTTGGGAATGATACCAAAATGGTAACTAGGGGGCCCTAAGAGACGTGACAGAAAAATGCATCGTATGATAGATCTATATTCCATTTTGTCTATGACATTAATTCTTCTAAGAAAATAGTTATTATTATTTTATAATCATTATATTCTACTATAATATACAATATTATAACGACAAATTGTTAGAAAAATGTGGATAGATTAAACAGATCAATTTACTTTTCCAATTTAATTGTTATATCCTCTTTTCTTTGTGTGAACACATTTTCTCGTACATGTTACTCGTGTTTCCAATTCTGTTGGGAATCGTCATGAAAGTTAACACGTATATATACATATAGAAGTAAACAAGCATTGAAATATTTTCTACCTTGATATTTATCTATGTCGCGTACCGTCTATACAAATTCGTGATTTGTTCATTAATTATAAACGTTAAAACTGTGTGAGGACCTACTCTACAGTAGGTAGGCCAGAAACCTTTCCAGAGTGCAGTTATTCCTTCTGTCTTCGATATCGACAACAACATCTTGATTATTCCAGGTGGTTTTCCAACACCTTTTAAGTTTTGTATTCTGAAATATGAATTAAGTAACGTGTATTAAAAATATTTAATTTAACTTGACAATTTAAATATATTTTTATTTATTATTAAAAATATTTTATTTAACTTGACAGTTTTAATATTTTTTCTTATTTATTATTCAAAATATTTAATGTAATTTGTAAATTTTTATAATCAAATAGTAATGCTACTTTACCTCGTTTTGGCAACATCGAATGGCATAGAATTAAATGTTGTAAGGAATCCAGATAACATGGATGCACAAAAATGTAGACCAACACTCTCTGGTATATGCACTGTGCAATGAAATACATTTGATACCATCATCAACGAAAATTTTTATAATAGGGACGTCATAAAAATGCCAAAAATATATATAAACTGACATTTTTGCTAGCAAAGTAGAATTTCTCTGAAATTATAATTTTTCCTTTATAATAATTTCTGTAGATATTTTATGAGTATTCTAAAGGTATTTAAATTATTATTCCCTTTAAATCTATAAATTGTTAGTGCGTTGATCTATCTCGTTTAGAGTTGACGTAAAAATGAGAATGTTATAAGAGAAATGCCAATTTGCAGTAGTGAACGCGAAGGTAAAATTTAGAAATAGGAGATTTATGATAATACGTTTGGTAGCTATTAAAAATTTGGTTTCACTATAAGTCGCAAGCTGAGATACGTTAACAACCACTGCTCGACCCATTGTCGCTACACTTCCTCTCCAAAGAGTCGTGATGCCCTCTTCTTTGGCTATTCTTGTAAACGCATTAAACACATTTTTGTAATTTCTTCGTTGGTCTGTAAAACAAAATTAATTTCGTCAGATTTCGTTCAATTTTCAATTTTTAGCAGGATTCTACATTAACTTCTCGTGGAATATTACGTTGATACCATAAAGAATTCTATTACGATAATTTATGAGAAGAGAAATCTGCAAAACGATGAATTTAATAATATCTGAGATATCGAAAAAATTTAGTTAACTATTTGGTATTCGTTATCTTTATTCCAATATCATTAATAAATTTTAGAAAAGTTTCTTTCCTTTAATATTTCTAATTTTACGACTTTCATCATCTCTATGGAAGGGTAAGGATATTAATAATATATAAACAAGAAAAATGTTTATTCTGTCTGTAATTTGTTTTTTAATATATTAAGTCAGTATATACTTTCCTTATAGTTGCATATCTCGTTAGGTATATTCGAAATTCTAAGAAAATATTGAAAATGGAAGAGAGAATAGAAGGAAAAAGTGGTGGAACAATAAGTATGGATAATAAGTTGTATAAAATAATATAAAGTAAATATATAAAAGTATATAAAATACTTATATTATATATAAACATATAAAATAATAATAAAATAATAATAAGCATATAAATATAAGGTAATCGAATTGTTTGTATTACCTTTTGGCAATCTACCATCGGCTGTCATTCTTACGAGGGCTACTTCTGCTGGTGTACCAACAAAGGCGCCTGCAGCTCCTGCAGTTGCTGCCATCAGTGCCAATACACCGAATCTAGGTTTCCCTGTGTACCTCTCCCTACAAGTAGTTAATAATTAATGTAGGTAGCCCGAAAAGATATGTGAATACGAAATTATATATTATATATATATGTATACATATATATATTATACATTGAATGCTAGATAATAATAATGTAATAATAATTATTAGTATTATTTTGAATCATATATAATAATAATTATTATTATTACGTATTATAGTATTTATTATTACGTATAATTAGTATTAAATTTTTAAAATGCAGTTAATCATTTGGGCATGTTAATGGCTCATATAATTATTCCTGGGTACGCTATTGTTATTATAAATATTTTGTATAATATTCGTATAAAAAATTATTTTAAAACTCTGGATAAAAGATGATTGTCTAATATTAACCATTAATTATTATCACCGTATGTGTGATGATATATATAATAATATAAATAATATATAATAAAGTATTAAGAAATAAAGTATAGATTTAAAAAAGTATTTAACAAATTTGTCGTCTAATTTTGTTATATTGTGACTGAAAAAATATTCGTGACATGTATTATATTTATACCTAAAATCATTAAGTATCGAATCGATAATGCTTCAAGCTGAATATAAATTATGATGAAACAATTTTGTAAAATTTGATCGAGAAGAATATTCATAGAAAATCGTGAAATAAATTTTTACTCGTACTGTACACTTACGTCCAATATTCTTGTAGTTGATTATAAATACCGAGTCTTACAGTGGTGTACGTCGCCTGTCGTAAGAGACCAGCACTAAGGCCGGAATAAAATTTCAAAATTCCCTCGTTGCGATATATGGAGCCGATCACTTTACCGATAGAGGTCCTTTCTTGTTGTACTTGAATCCGATTTTTTATTACATCCATAGGATGAACTACACAGGTTGCCGCCATGCTAAAGTTAGGTTAAGTTCAGTGTAAGGAGCCATTATAAATTTTCTTCTATGACCATTTTTACAAAAATTTATGCTAGAAAGTTATGATAAATGAGACGAATAAATTCTTGGTTATTGATAGGATATTAATATTCATTAAAAAATAAATATTAAGAAATAGAAATATATTAATTAAAAAATAAAAATTTCAATTTAGAATTATAGCAAATACAATTTTTCTGCCAGAATTTAATTCAAATTCATGACTTTAATAATTGAGAATATGGACTGAAATACTAAATGATATTAATATATGGTATTTGATAGCGAAGTAATGGAAAAAATGAATAAAAGGCTTCAAATTAATTTTGATCAAAATTAAATAAATATCAATAAGAAACTTTCTTTGCAAATTCTTCAATTTTCTATTCAATCTAATTTTACTGTTCAAAAATAATAAAATAAACAAATTTAATTCGTGACTTATGGAATAACAGAAAAATAAAAATAAAATTCTTAAATTTAATATTTTTTAATAGAGAATTATTAAAATTTAGAATACATCCATTAATATTAATAATCAAATTTTTCATCAAAGATACGAATTTCATAAAATTTTATAAAATATAGAAAATTAAATAAAATTTCAGAATAAATAAAATTTTGCGATTCTTAAATTTAATACTTTTTAATTGAGAATAATCAAAACTTAGAATATTGAATACTGATATTAATAATCAAATTTTTCATCAAAGATACGAATTTCATAAAATTTTATAGAATGTATAAAATTAAATAAAATTTCAGAATAAATAAAATTTCGCCATTCTTTGTTTATGATATAATATTCTATGCTCATAAATATACCTAAAATAAATAAGAAACAAAGGAGAATGAAATATTTCATATTGTACAGCCTCACCCCGAAAGGCCGGCATTTATAAAAGTAAATATTGGGGATGTTGGCTCCTTCTTTTTCGCAGTTGAAACATTCTCGCACATTTTCAGTACTTTTTAAGTTCTTGAACATGTATCATATATATATCATTGAAATCGTTCCAGTTGAGATCTATGAAAATATTATACCAATTATAAAGCTATAAATGCATAATAATTTAAAACGTGTATAAGCATAAATGGTAAAAATCATCAATGGTGACATGTGCATAATTCATCAATGATAACTAATGATAACTATGATTAATAATGATTAATTTTTCAGTATGATATCCATTCGAAGAGTTAAGGAAGACATACACAAATTAATTTGAAAAAGAAAAAAGGAAAATTATTCTGCATTGATATTTGGAAAAAATAAAAACAGATTAAATATTAAATTCTTTTAAATTGATTATTAATTATTGAAGGTATAAAAATTGGGGACATTTTGATACAATAAATGATATAATAAAAGCTTCGTTATAATAATTCTTGTCTCGTGGAAAATGATGCTAAATAGGAAAAGAAAATTTGGGAAAATTTATACCACTGCCTTTTGCATGTCACATATCCGAGTAAATTATTTCTCTTCATCGTTGTTTATTTTAGGATTCTTCGTAGGTCTTCATGCATTACTTAACTTTATGCCAAAAGTAGCCGATGACATAATAATTTTATTTAGGTTAGAGTGCTATGAATACTTTTATTACTTATGGTTTCGACTAAGTGAAGTGAGGAATAAGAGGAAAACAATTCTTTTTTCTTTTTTTTTTATTAATATACTTTTTGTTCTCTGTATTACTTGATTTATTCATTACAGTATTATTATATTCGTTTTTATTAAATTATAACAAACAATAAATATTAAAATTTACATATGTTTATCTTCGGTATTGTAAATTTGAATATTACTTTATATATGATATCTTAGCCAAGTATTGAAGTAATTTTATAATAACCAAGCATTCAAATATCAGCCATTAATTTTAGAAAATAATTTCAAAAGTTACATCGAAATTGGAGATTATACAGAATATTTGTGAAAAGTGTTTATTATTTATTAAACAAAGACTGTATATATTGGTATAATTTTTCGTGGTTAAATTTCGTTTTAATTTCTGTTATTAATATTACATGATTCTAGAAACTGTGTCTATTAAGCATTTTATTTTTCTGTTCTGTAAGTTTCATTACAGTGAATCTTCGATTAAAATTAATAAAAATGAAACCCTTAAAATTCCTGTCATGTCATTCGAAGACTTGATGAAGAATAACATGTTATATCGTAATATTTTCATTTTTGGATTATAGATAATGAATTTTATCTTCTGGCACGTATTTTGTGCATCTGCGAATTCTCCTTCTTCTTTTAGGTTCCGCAACAATGGTTTCCTTTTTCTTCGGCTCTGTTAAACCCATTTCTCTCTTGCAGTCCTAAAAAAGAAACGTGAAAATCGTAATTAATTTGAGTTTCAGGAATTTTGAATTTATTAAAAATTATTATGCTAATTATATATAAATAAATTAATGTATTGTACAAATTATTAAATTATAAAATAATTTAATCACAGATGACCATTGTACAATACGTTTGACATATATAAAGAGCATAAATCGTTCCAGAAATAATTATTTTACAGAAAAATATCCATCTATTTCCGAAATTAATGAAATTAAAAATTACTTATGAAAGTGTCAATTCATATTTGAATAAATTAACAAAATAAAAAATGATTACTGACTGCACTTAATACTGACAATTACACTTTATAAGAATATTAACTTAATATTAATAAAAATAAATATATTAATCTTTTCACGAGTAGACCTACTAACTAAGCCTTCATATAACTCACTAGCGCCACCACGGTCAATATCTCCAATAAATTTTCTAATTTTACTTATTCTGCAACTTTGTTTACACAGTATTGCTGAATTTTTCTGTTTTACTTGTGAAAGGATTAAAATATGAACGTTATATATATTATATCTTATATAATATATATGTACATAAATTTTATACATACCTCTACTGCCTTAAGAATAGGATAAAGCGGTCTCACGCCTTTGGATTCGTTCAAAATTTCTTCTGCATAATCAAGAACCTTTTTATTTTCTATTTCAATTATTTTCTTCACATCTAGAGCTTCATCCTCGTCAAGCTTCGCTTGCTTCCTTTCTTCTTCCTTGTCACTCTGCAAATATTTATGACAATCATTAAAAATTAGTAAAGATTATTTATTATAACAGTAGAATAATCAAATCAGTCAAAACAACTGCTCTAAACCTTTCTATTTTAGCAAACAAATAAAACGAATGACTTTTATGTACATTTGTTCACATTTGTTAAATAAGGATCTCATTTTTCTTACTCACGATGTATTTTTTCAATGTATCGGCATATTTCATCTTATCATCCCAATTTTTCTTCCACCATTCTGCTTCCACTTCCTTGTCATGCTCCACCCTCTTAAATCTCTGCATCATTTCCCACATTTTCATAGTTTTCTCTTCTTCCAACTGCTTGGACTTCGTATCTAGAACTTTCAGTCGAAAATCTTGAACTTCTTTACTTATTCGATCCCGATGTTCTTTTCGTTTCCTTTGTTCCTCCCGATAATGTTCCTCTTGCTCCTCCTGAGCTTTCTTCAAAATTCGTTCCTCCAAGTCTTCTTTCGATTTCAAAATCGCACGGTGTATTTCCGATGTTTTCTCGTCTGTTAAACATGAACGAATGAACAATAATACTTCTTCATTTTTACATAAATTATATGTTGCAATATTTACAATATACAGGTGGGCCTGAATTAATACTGCTTCAAATATTGTTGTCTCAGATATAAGATTCAGTGTGAATTATATTATCGAATTCCAAGGAAATTCGATTAATGCGAATTAAAAATATGTATCTTGGAAAATAATAAACATGTTCATACTAAATTATGTACAAAACAGTACATTTACAATTATTTGATGCGTTTATATATATTTTTTAAATTGAAATCAATTCTTGCATTTCATGTGTTGAAATACAATAAATAATGTGATTTTAAATAATTGTGATTTCAAATGGTATGATAACATGAATTTGAATAATCTGATAATTTTATATATTTGCGATAATAGTAAATAAAATTTATTAATGGTAAAATGATAGATGTAGATGTGAAGAAAATAATTGAAATAGAAAATAAAAAGGTTTTTGATTATGTAGAAGGAGTTTTGAACGAATTCAAAGGTGTGAGATCGATTTATCCTAATCATGAGGCAGTAGAGGTATGTATAAAATTTATGTACATATATATTATATAAGATATTATAATATATATAATGTTTATATTTTAATCTTTTCACGAGTAGGACAGAAAAATTCAGCAATACTAAACGAAGCAATAATAAACAAAGTTGCAGGATAGGTCAGATTAGGAAATTTATCGGAGATATTGACCGTGGTGGCGCTAGTGAGTTAAATGGAGGCCTAGACAGTAGGCTTACTCGTGAAAAGATTAACCCTTTGCAGTCGAGAGGTGAGCTTCAGTCACCATTTCATAAAATTTGGAAGATCGATATTAATTAATATATCAAATTTAATGTAATGGTGTGCGAGGTATCGAAACCAAATAATTCTACAATTCTATTATTATACAATTCTATATTTACTGCTCAAAAAGGTATCGTTTGTATTTTAGTAGAGAATATTTGAATTTTCACTGTTCTTTAACCAAAAAATCGTCGAGTGCAAAGGGTTAATATACTTTTATAAATTGTAAAAGTGATATATTCTTTGCTAATTTTTATCTCGCTACCTTTTTATGAGTCGAGTAATAAAATAGTAACGAAATTATTAAACGATTAAGGAAATAATATTTTAGTAAAGTTCAATTACTTATCAGTTGTGTTTTCTTTTCCCTTTCTTCCTTCTCCTTCTGCTTTACCGCTTTGTGCATCTTCTGTATTCGCAATTTAGCGTTTCTATAGATCTCCACCGCTCGATCCTCGAACTCTTCTTCGTGCTTGAGCATAAGATCGAACTGTTTCTTCTCTTCTATCGCGTCTTTAAAAAATTGTTTCAATTTTTCCTTCTTGTTTTGCAACTACGAACATATTTTTATCGTGTACACTACGTAACTCTAATTTCCTATATTATATTTATTATTTACTATAATCTCGTATTTTACTATTAAATATAACATAAAATTAATTATTAAAATTAATTGATACGATGTTATATTATATTGTTTAATCTAATATAAAATGAAATATTGAAATTATGTAAAATAATTTTATACTGTAATTTTACACTGCGTTCTATTTTTTAATATACCGTAACGTCAATTATTAAGGACATTAAATTAAATAAATCATTTTAGATTGATGTTACATTCATTTTCTACGTAAAATAGTTGCAGAAGAATAATAAAAAGAATGTAATATATTTTTGCAGGAAATATTGAAAACTGACTTGTTGTGCTTCATGTTCTGTCACATCGTCCAAATACTTTTTCATATTTATCTGATCTTGTTTCTCAGCTTCGAACCTCTTTCTTTGTTTCTCTGTTATGGTATTATGATTTTCTTCGATTCTGAGTTTCAGAAAACTATGTTATTCCTTGAAATAAAATTAAAATAAAATATTTTCCAAGGAAAGGTATGAACTCACTGTTTCTTCAAATCGCACGTATATTCTCTTTTTTCCTTCAATTGTTTCTCCATTTTCTGTCTCATTTCTTCTTCGTATTTTGCTACATCCTCCTTCATCATCCTCACATATGCATTTTCTTCTTCTCTATCTGCGTTTTTAAGAGTTTCCCGAAATTTTATTTGAGCATCCAATTCTCTATAGCACTATTGAAATCATAAACAATTCCAAATCTTGTCGGTATTATTAGTATGTACTATTTCTAAGAAGAAAATTAAAAGAAAAGACAAGTAAATGAAAATCGAATTATTTAATATCACTATAATAATATTATGTATTACAAAGGATACTGTGATATTTGTCATGTTTGGCAACGATTCGTGGTAAATTATTTCGAAATACCTCAGACACTAGAAGACCTTGGTTAATTCGTCTACACATTGGCTTTCTGTAAAGAATAAATCTTTTGGCCTCTTTGATTATTTCTCCTCTTTCTGCTGCCTTCTTCTCTGTTGTTTCTTTCACGAATTTTTCTCTTTCTTCAACAGCCTGTTTCTCTCTCGCCAATCTCTCCTCTCTTCTTCTTCTTTTGATATCCTTTTACAAAATGAAATTATTGTTTATGCAATCTCGAAACAGTTGAAATTTCCCATAATTTGGCATAATTCGATGCAGAATGGTTCGTTATTTAATTAACATTGAAACGAATTTTTATTTATTATCTTTGCTAGATAGTTTATATAGAAGAAATAGTATATGGGTTAATTGAAAGTAGATGTGTAGAAGTACAAAAGGTATATACCTCTTTGTCAGAAGTGAATTTTTGAATGACATTTAATATAGAATAATTTGATGGAAGCTAATGAAATTTTAATGGAACTTTTTCCAATAATTTAATTAAAAGAAAGAATTAATAAATTAAATTAAATTACTAAGTTGTTACTTATATTTCATATAATGGAGGATAATTTTGTGGAAGTCAAGGAAAGAAATTAAAAAAAAAAAAAAAGTAGGTATACTAATATATAGTAACAATATTAGGTATTGTAATAATAGGTATATATGTATGTTAGTATACCTACCATTTTTTTTTTTAAATTTCTTTCTTTAACTTCCATAAAATTATCCTCCATTAAATGAAATTTAAGCAACAACTTAATAATTTAATTTAATTTTTTACATCTTTCTTTTAATTAAATTATTGGAAAAAGTTCCATTAACATTTCATTAGATTCCATCAAATTATTCTATATTAAATGTCATTCAAAAATTCACTTTTATATTATTATATAGGTATATGATTATGTTAGAATAAATAAGTGGAAGTTGAGAAAAAATACAAAAAGTATGTACCTCTTTAGTGGAAGTTATTTTTTCCTTTTTCTGTGGTTCCTCTTCAACAACTTCAATCTTACTTTGCTCATTTTTGTTTTCTGTTTTCTCCATAGACAAAGTAGGTTTACGACTTGAACGATGGGAGCTCTTTGGTGTCAATGTTTCTACTGTACCATCTGCTATCTAGTTAAAATATATTTTTACGTGTGAAAACGAAAAATTTATTTATCAACAATTTATTTATTTATGAAGGTCGTTAATTGAACATAAATTTTTATTTTTCAATTTATATTTAAATTTGAAAGAATTTTTGCACAACAATTTATTGCTAAGGAAATAGGAATACTTAGCTGAATAATTAAATTTTTAATTATTTAGATGAATTAAGACGCGGACAATTAGAATTGTTTGAAAAATTATCGAAGAATTATTGGAAGAATTATACGAAAATAACGTACTTTAACACTTTTCATTGGTTTCATTCTATTTTGATGACACACTGTAGGTATCTCACTTTGAATTACTTGATTTTGCACCATGATTACAATTCTTTAAGTACGGTGTAAGTATTATTGCTCAGTAATGTGAGATGAAGTAAGAAATTAATAAGTTTAATGTAACTTGCACGGTTTCTTTCTTCACGTTGCGGATAACTTTAAACGGCGCAATCGTTGTCTTGGAAACTATATCGGAACCGATCGATAACATGGAATAAATTTTCTTTTCGGTAAAAAGTAATATAAAATTTCATTATTTTTACGATGCGATGTATAAAATGTAAGTAACGTACACGAGAAAATGATTTTGATGTTTGAAATTAATAAAATGGAACATTAAGGTTAATATGTAGTTATAAAACATATAGTCATAAAATTTTTGTATACGATTGTACAACGTAAATAAAATTAATTTATTTGAAAAATACAATATAAATTTTAATATTTTTTTATTATTCCATATTTGATTAAATCTTAATCAATATTTCAATAAAAAGAATTATAAATACAACAGATATTATTTCATTTTCCTATTAGTAAAATACCTTTATTTAAACATTATATTCAAAAGATCAGCTTATAATACTGCAAATATGATATTCTTCATAAAATTATATAAAAATTGATATACAATGAACATTTCAAATTGGTTTTGCGATTTAAAAAATCATGGTAATGACTACCGGTATAGTAGTTAACATGCAGATAATGTAGTATATCCGTAAAAATCAAAGATCGTAGCGCACTCTGGTTACGATAATTAGAAGTAAAATTTCCAGTAAATATAAAGCTAGTCACTGACACGTTAAGAAAATTATTAGTAATTTTGATCATGTTTAATTGTAATTAATAAATATTATCTGTTTCAAAGTAAATAAATTATGGTATTTAGATATCCAAATATATTTGTTTTATGTCGCTGTGTATAAAATGGAAATAGAAATGTTTACAGTAGTATTATAATATAAGAAACAATTATTAATAAATTTAAATATTTATTTTTAATTAATCTAATATATTTATAAATATATTTATATTACAGAAGTTAAATAAAATATCAATGAATATACATAAATTACGTTGTTTATGCTTTTCTTTATTAATTTATTACATTGGCAGAAACGTTTAATTAGCGTCACTGGAAAGGCAAGGGATTGGTCGATATGTATCATGCTTTCGATTCTCGAACTGCAATAGTTCGTGTAGTTCAGTGTGGTGAATGCACTTCACGATTATGACAGCGCGCGCGATTTTGTGACTAATTAAGAAATTTATATATATTTATCGGTGATTCAAGTTATTTTAGTGTATAATTTGTTATATTATTTTCTAGGGAATGATAAAGTGAATAATATCATAGGTACGTATTGATTTTCAATTGAAAATTTATTTTGAAATTTTAAAACTTTATTCGTCGTTAAAACATTTTCTCATAGCATGCAATTCAAAATTAATTGCTAATTATATTATACTTTCTATATTTTTCTATACACTTAGCAATGTTTGAGCTATATAAATAAATATAATCAATTTTTGGCATATTTGAAAACATTTCAAGTTATTATGTCTAGTAAAGCCGATGTATGAATTGTCCTTGTAATATTTCTTATAAAGTCTAATATGTTGAAATAGTTTGATTATTTAATTTCAGTATATATTTTTATTGTAGTAAATTATTTTTTATGATAATCCCTTCCCCTACAATATCGTATGAGACTCGTGGTAAGGAGATCCAGCCAAACACGAATATCACGGGTGAGATTCGTGGTTTGTCGATAGGGCTAACGTACATCGACATGCTCGAACAGACTCATGGTTAATTTTCGCAAATGGTTTCCTGCTTTGCTGCGTGTTAATCTTCGCCATATTAGTACGAGGTGTCGATATGTTACCGATCTTGATATAGACTTATGCATTACAGAAGTTTAAATGCTAATGTAAGAGGTTAACTTCCTTATTCAAACAATATTAGTAAATTTTATTTTACATTTAAAAAAGGACGTTCGAGTGGTTTCATTCTCTAATTTTTGACATAATTATTTTGTAGTGTAATCTGGTTATACTACACTGATAACTGTTCATGCATCGGTAATATCGTAAGTGATACAAAAAATAATTATGCTTGAAATGTTTGCAAAATGTTAAATCTAGATTTTTAACTATTGATTTATGAATTTGTTAACCTTTATAATATTCTTACATACTTCATATTAAATAATATATATTAAATTTTTATTTTGTGCCACATTAGCCTGATAAAGTCATTTTCTTCATACCTACATGCACACATATGTGAACATTCTTTATCCCATTTGTATAAAAGTAACATCTGTTATAACTTAGAAAAGGAAATCATGTTATTTTCATTATGGGCTGATATTTGGTTGAATTTATGATAATATATTGCTATGTATTTTATTTGATTAATGTTCAAATATTTTCTGTCTCAAGTGTTTCGAAAAATTGTCGCAAGATGGCCGCGGAGCGTGGTCGTGCACCTGTAATAACAGCACGTGCTACAGCTGAGTGACGGTCTCCTTCGTGGAAAAGTGAGTATAATTGTGTTTTAAAAGTGTTTGTCGGCTTCCCAGAGTGACCTAGTGCTTGTCCATTGTTGCATCGGCTTTGTGCATCGGATCATACCTCCAGGTTCGGCGAAGTATCAATATATTTCTTTGAAATGTTGCTGTATTTACTCGATGGTTGCACATGTGTCGCCAATACTACTGCATAAATTGGATCGGTAATTAACCTTGGTAGAGAATGTTTATTGATAAGAGACATTTATCATTAATGACAATGCACAAACACTGGTGAGAAATTGATAGCAGTTATATACATGGAAATACGTCGGTGAGGTATCGCTTGAAACGTTTTGTGTACTAACCTAACCCTTTATACACGTATACATTTCGAAGCATCATTAGTGCGTTATAATATTACACGTCTCTCAGGAAATACAACGAGTTAAGTATATTCGGATTTTATTTTATTTCGTGAAATATCTTGTAGTCTGTGCATCTACCGTCCAGAAAAATGTGAAGTTGGTAGTTCAGTATTTCAAACGAGATGGCACCAGTGTCACTTTGTTTAATGTACGATATGCTACGTAATGAATCAATATAATGTCACATTTCAGCTTTGTCGTTATCATTGAATAGTGATTATAACCTTATTTTTGAAAAGTGTCTCGTCTCTAAATCATTTTTTTTTTATTTCAATACGTCTTTTTGTGATTTATTTTTAATTATAGTGGTGTTTCTGTAATCGGTAAGTAAATTAATTGTTTTATTTTATATGGTACCATTTTATTCCTCGCACTATTATATTTATTTTGTTTATATTTTAATATGATTTTTATTTTGTTAAAGCTTATATAACGACTGTTCTATTATTTTTGTTACACATGAAATGGATTCATCTCGGGCATCGAAACGTAATCTACTCGCAGTAAATATTAATATTAATCAATCTATGGACGCAGAATGAAGAAATTACAATTGTCTTTGGATAGTCAAGATCTATTTATACATTGAAACCCGTTAGTATCGATAAGAAGAACAATTTATCAAATCATTTTTCCTCAGCACTGAAGATTCCAATATAGATTATAATTAGAGTATAATAATTATAGTCATCTGCCAATTTTTTCAGTGAAAATATTTTTTATAACAATTTTCATAAAAAGAGAAAGATTGGATTATCTGAATGAGAAGAGGAAAGAGTAAAATAGAATGAAAATATTGGAAAATAATATATATTATTATTTAAATTAAATTATTATTAAATTAATGTTAACTAATTTTATATGAAATTAGAATTTATTACTTGATATGGTCACTTGGTATTAATAAATAAAAAACTCAAGACTAATGAAACATTTTCGGAAGAACAAAGAAGAAGAATCTTCGATCGATATTGAAACCTCGAACATTTTCAACAATCGTTTGCATACACTGCTCGAATATGAAACTCTTACAGCAGAGATATAGGTAAGTATATGTATGTAGATGAACATAGGAAGTTGAGGGCCATGTACGAATTTTCTATCATAAATTGGAATTAAATTATTATCATTTCAATTATTTTTCTGGCACGAAAAAGAATTTGCAAATGAAATAGATTTATTTTGATATATATTTCGAATAGAAATGTCACTTAACAAGGCCGACTTGAGATTTACATTATATTACGTCATTTATATTAAAAATATTAATGGCAACTTTTGTAAATGAAATTAGATTTAAGTTTGAAGTTTCGAAACTGGATTTATATCTTTTTCAGGCTTTTAAATGCGTAATAAAAGAAGAAATTAATGAAAAATCGTCCCGTGAAGGTACGAGAAAAGCTTGAGGTCCGTGACAAGAAAAGTGACTGCCTTGTATTGATCCATTTGAAACTCACGCCGCTAAACTATTTAAACATTTTTTAAATATTCTTTTTTAAATTCCACATACTGTGTATTATATTATAATATGTATATTTGATGTAACTATAGTATATACTTATTATTCATAATCAATAAATCATCTTTCTTCTTTTTATTGAGCTAATATGTTTTTCAAATTTTTTGATAAAGTTTTTATTTATTGTTTCTTATTATATTTTGTATAAAATTAATGTGGAATATTGTTATTTAGAAAATATTTCAGCTCAAAAAGTTACTAGTAAAAATTGTCCAATTGACAATGTTATTGTCTCCAGAAGTATTGTACATTATGAAATAATTAGTAATTATATTACTTTTATAAAACTGTAGCAATCAGTGTTGAAAAAGTTTTAGTTGACTTTTGTTTCAGAATAACCAATTAATTTTAGAGAAATTTTCTTTTCGTTGTTTTTAAAATTTTATATTTTTGGAACTTGGAACTTTTTTGAAGGGACAAAATTAGGAGGATTTGTCTATATTGGTTGCAATTTATATGTTAGCACATTGAAGCAGTATGGTATTGTTATATTCAGTTATACAAAATGAATTGATTCTTGCATTTGTTTTATTTGTCATATAATACATATATCAAAATAGTGCTTGCTTTATTGTATTTCTCTGAAGTAACTAAATAATATATCTTGTCATTTATTTAAGTTCTTGTTTTATTTTTTTATTTATACATTGTTCAACATCATGTAATTGTTCAACATTGTTCACTAACCATGTAATAATAAGATGTTGAAGTATTTATTTAGAAGATTTTTTAAACATATTAAAATATTTTTGTATATTATATTTCACATATAAAAACAACTATGTGTCTTTGGAATTTAATATAAATTCTATATAACATTAATTAATAAATTTTATTTATTACTATTTTTATATTAGTACTATTTATATAATACAAATGCAAATATGAAAAAAGGGAACATTTTTAACAATAATTAGTTAAATACAAATGTTGCACGATCATAAAAATGTTATTCTTACAAAGAAAACTGAAATATTATGCAATTTAGTGTTTGATGAGTATATACGTTTATGTTTCATGTAAATGATAATGTGAATTGGAAAAGAGGTGAAAGATAAGAGGATAAGATTGAGATGCAAATTATATTACATAATTATATTGTTTTATAAAGGATAATTACTTATCAAATTACAAAACAAAGATATCATAATTGTAATAGAAATTTTAATACATAAATTATCGATATTTACTGTGAACGGAACTACGTATTAAGAAATCATGACTGAAAATGAATTCCATTTCATTTATGGCAATCGAAAGTAGAAATTTATCAAGGTTTCTAAATCTTATTTGAATTATCCTTAAAATAATTACTCGTTGTTTATATATTACATATATACTATTTATCTGTATTGTCAATTTGTCAATTTATATGATTTAACTGAATAAAAATATAGAAAATGGAGGAAAAATAAAAAACTTCTATAACAAAGTTTTAATAATTACATTGTTTATTAAAACATAAAACATAATTTGTTAAATAAATCAAATCTACATTAAAGGTATAACATTTTCTGCATTTTAACATATGAATAGTAACATATGAACATCATACACAATAAAATTGACAAAAATACCACTATGAAAATAAGTTACACTGTTTTCTCTCAAACTACCAATAGAAATAATTATAATTATCATTGAAATAATATTTTTAAACAATATACACTGTAATGCATATCCATTGTTCCTATTCCTATCAATTTATCATCCATAATGCTAACATGAAAATTTCTTTGATTTCAGGTGAAGGCAAGTGGCGGGAAGGGATAGTTTGCTTTGGCATCAGGAATACCTGTTAGAGTGAGTACTTTCCAAATTTCAATTTTTCACTATGTCATCATTACTTATCATAATATCTAACTTGTCCACAAAGCCAAGTCCCAATATTAAATCAGAATATAATCAAAAGTCACCATCTCCCATAATTTGCAATATTAAAATTCAATAATTACCAATTATTAATTATGTCAAATATATAACAAATTTATTATTTATTTAATAGAAACATTTAGTGTATATGTACTATATATACATATACTATATATATATAAAGAGGTGTAATTATAGGAGGAGGTGACGAATGGTTAGGAAGAATGAAGAAGCATGAAATTTATTAATGAAACATATTTATTAAAAATCTAGTATTTCTCTACACCTACAGTAAATATCACAGGTACACGTTTCTCTATCACAAGATCCTCTACTCGGCCATTTAACCCGTTGACAATCCCAACGGGCTTACGAATTTTCCGCATTACGATTCGAAATCATAAAAATCGCCGCGATTGGCCGAGGAGATACGTACATATAACAACGGTTTTAGCGCGAGAATGGGCCTTTCTCGTGCCGATCCGGCCGCGAGATCGCGTCGCGATCGACGCGAGAAAAGTGTCGAGTGCCGAGGGTTCTCGCGCCAAAATGGGCAAAATAAAATATTCTCGATAAAAGTATGAAATAAACAATAGAAAACTCTAACTGTCAAAGTAAATTAAAGCTTGGCCCGCGACGCGTTCGCGGTTCTGTCGTTACATCGAGATCCTAGTTGTGTCAACTGTTACGTTATTCAATCAATGAATAATATACGATATATCCATAGGACGATACTACAGAAAAAAAAGTGAACTTATTTCAACATTCCCCCCACTAGTAGTTTCACTCCCAAGTGTCTTGAGCAAATGGAAAATCTTAAGTCTATTCCTCTTCTTCGTCGTCGTCGTCTTCTTCTAAATCCTCGTTTCTTCGAGTATCAAAGTAATATTTGCACATTCCGCAGACGTTTGAAGAAGTGATCGTACATCTTCTCTTCTTCACCGTCCATCCCAGCGAACGAATTCCCCGAAGGAAAATAAACTTCCCTTCCCGCCACGACCTGCTTCTCATAAGGCCCGCGAGTTACTCGCTCGAATCACAGACGAAATTGCAACACCGGTAAAATGGTTCCCGCGTAATGGATCCAGCCACGGCAATTTTCTTCCCCCGTGACCGAGAATCCAGTTGCTCGACATCGAGAACTCGGTTAACCGGGTACGATGGCTCTCTGCCCGTTGAAACCGTGCAACCTGCCCGATTACCATGGTCTCCAGATAGGCTCGTTGGGTTTGGCGACCTGCAGGAGACCTTGGTGACTCTGCGAGATGCCTTCGATGTCCGTTCTGACCGGGGACGGTTGGCTAGATGCCGGAGTGAGGGGCATGGAGTATTCGTCCGAGCTGAGCTCGCTGCTCGAAGACGGCGAGGACTGTGGCGCGGCCACGTGGATCGTTAGGGGGCCAGTTTTGTCCATGGAATTCAGCTTGTGACCCAAGTGGGTCATCAATTTCGTTCCCAAGGCGACGTCGACGCCGGGAGTGGCGGCGAGGCAGCGGCTAACTTCGTTCGCGCAGTGCGTGTAGCCGGCTCTGAACCGATCCGCGTCGATCACCGGATTCGCCGAGAGCCGTTGTTGCCTCTGAAGCTTGTGCAGGTGACGCACGGTCAGCTCGAGAATGTCGGCTTTTTCCAGCTTCGCCACGTTCTCGCCGTCGCCGGCTAGGGCTGTTACCATCAGGTCCTTCAGCTCGTCCAGGCACCGGTTGATTCTGGCCCGGCGTTTGCGTTCCAGCATAGGTTTCATCACCTGTGGATCAAAAGGAGGGAACCATTATAGAGACTCGATTAGGGGAAGTCGAATTATTCTGATCGGAATAGGGGATGAATCTCGGTTGATTTACGTTTGAACGAGGCTAACTGTGCCTCTAACCCTGTCTCGTCTCAAACGGAATTGTCTGTATGATTGGAAGAACAGGTGTGGGCACACACGGTGGTGAATTTCGAAGGACGCTCACCTTTCTGTACTGATAAGTCCTGGAAATGGGTTGCTCCTGTCCGTCGACCATCATGATCTGCTCGTGCATCTGCATGATTAATCCTTCACTCGGGGGTAGCTTCCACACACCGATAACGAACTTTGCACACTGATTAGAGAACGAAATCCGCTTATCGCGATATCACACTGGTCTCGAAATGTCACACAGGCTAGAGCGGGATGATTATCGAACTGTTCGTGGCTCGCTCGATTCGACGGAAACGTATCGACTTGTATCACCGAGGCGTCTCCTGTTCGAACTTCGTGAACGATCACCGTGATTGTGGTGGCTGTCGGGCGAGGCTGTAGCTTATATAGTCAAGGACCCACCGGCAGGGTGGGGCGAGGGGCTGCTGTCAGGGTCCCTAGTGGGGGACAGGCCTTCCGTGGGAACGGTCCGTAGAGGTTGGTTCCCAAGCAAGCACACCACCTGTAAGCGGCAGCTGCCAGACACGCGCCCACACCAAGCCATCGTCACCGTTTCTTCGTCTCCGTTCCACCTACCGCCCGAACCCGTATTTCCTACCTCTTCTGATCCTCCTCGGGTAGTCGTGCCACGGTATGCACGGCTTAACATTCTCCTCTCTTTCTCTCTTTCCTCCTTTCGGCCTGCTATTTCACGAACGTGCGCTCATACGGAAGGACCCAGTATCGACATCCTTTCCTTCTCGCCGTGGCAAACTAGCGAGAGCGTGAGCCAGAGCAAGAAGGGAACAGAAAGAAATACCCCCCCTTACCCCTCTCCCTTCGTCCCACCTAGCCCTCCTCCTTTTTCCATTCTAGTGCCCCGGGAGGGTATGTATATACACACTCGTGCTACGTCTTCTTATCGTCGGGCCCTCTTTGTTTCTCTCCGCCGCCGCTAGGTAGCTCTGTCCCGCTCACCGCGGGGCTGCCCCGAGGAGCGTGCTGGGCACAAGTCCGGCGTCCTCCCGATCGCAATCCCACTAGTTACACGTTACTGAATCACGGTACGTGTGTCTATGCTACCAAGTCACCGCGAAACGATACGCCGTGTCGGTGCGCCGCGCTCTCGCTTCCTCTCCGCAATTGATCAATCATTTTCAGCCGCGTATTAACTGTCGCGTGAGAGACACGCCGCGGATGCGGAGACAAATGTTGCGCGATAAAACTCGACGTTATGAAAAGGATGTGATGAATCGTTTATTACGGTTGTCGCGTGGGCGCGAGCGGGTTCGGTGGGCCGAGCCTCAGCGTTACCGAACCGCGATAATTAACGCTCGTTTATTCGCCTGTCCGTCGTTCCTTCCAACACACTTTCGGCGGGAACGCTCCAGATTTTTGTATCTCTCTTTCCACGCTTCTTCTTCTACGTCTTTTTTCCCCCCTCTCCCTGCCGGGTCGCGAAAGATGTATTTTTAATGAGGTACTTATAGCGATATTATGTTTTCCGTGGGATACGAGTTCGGTGAATCCGAAATTTAGTGCCGGATAATTAGGCTGCAGGACGTGTCTCTTAAAGGTCACCCCGTCCACGGGATAATTGTCTTATTAATATTGCTCGGGGAATACAGCCGGTGTCGAATAATAAACTCGTAGGAATTCGGTAAAGATGGATTCGTATGTTTGGGTAGATACAGGTGACGGGTTTTCATTTATTTTCGTTATTAATTAGTTTCATTTGGTTTCCGTTTTGCATAGTTGACATCGCGTATACATTAATTCGGTGATCTTTTAATTTAATTTGCTTCTCGAGGGACTTGTCGATTGGTGCGATAGGAAGAGACTGATTTTAGTACGTGATTTTAGTACCTGATATAGCGTCTCTCTCGTGTGTTTGACAGTTAGTGACCAAGCCCCGAATTTGATTATCAATTCAAATATTTGGCAATTTCCAACGCGTATTTTGAATTTTGATTTGGAAAACGGGAATTTATAATACATCTCCAATAAGGATTTAATGTAATGGATGCACGTGTTATGTAACAGTTTCGAAGTTTCAAGAGCGAAAAGGAAGGAGTTAAAATAAAATTGTACGGCATTGATATTGGTTACATTGTTCAAATAATTGGCACAAATTTAATGCCTGCAGGATTATAGAATTATCAGTAATTATTTCATGTCCCTTTAGAGGGGATATTCGAGGTGTTTGCTAGACCTGTAATGTCTCATGAGAAGTGACAGCTGAGTTTAAAGAGATAAACTGAAATATTTTCCTATTTTGATATTATGCTTATCATGACGAGTCAAATGGAGTAAAAGATAATACTACAAAATTAATTATGTCAGAAGTATGTCGAAAGAAAATTCAGGAAATCGAGTGACTAATTTGATGAGGTTAAATGCAGAATTGTTCATCAAAACTTAAAAAATGGTCATTTAGACTATGATAGATTTAATATTCAGGCAATTTTTGAAATTTCACATAGTTTAAGCGAATATTAGTAGCAATTGTGCTTATTAAGTTTGTATTAAACGATCCATAAATGAAATTTGGAAGTTGAGTACGAAATTTGTGATAAAAATTGAGAAATGGCCATTTTTCTATAATAAATTCAATTTTGAAGCAATTCTTACAAAATTTTGTACAGCGTAAACGAATATCAGAAGCAATAGTGATTATTAAATATCCATTAAACGATTCATAAATGAAATCTGGTAGTTGATTACGAAATTTGGGATCAGAATTAAGAATGGCCATTTTACTATAATAAATTCAATTTTAAAGCAATTCTTAACAAAGTTTGCACAGCGTATGCGAATATCAAAAGCAATTGTGCCTATTAAGATTCCATTAAACGATTCATTAACGAAATCTGGATGTCGAGTATAAAATTTGTGATCAAAATTAAGAAATGGCCATTTTACTATAGTAAATTCAATTTTAAAGCAATTCTTAACAAATTTTGCATAGCGTAGGCAAATATCAGAAGCAATAGTGCCTATTATGTTTCCATTAAACAATCCATAAACGAAATCTGGAAGTTAGGTACAAAATTTGTGATCAAAATTAAGAAATGGCCATTTTACTATAGTAAATTCAATTTTAAAGCAATTCTTAACAAATTTTGCATAGCGTAGGCAAATATCAGAAGCAATAGTGCCTATTATGTTTCCATTAAACAATCCATAAACGAAATCTGGAAGTTAGGTACAAAATTTGTAATCAAAATTAAGAAATGGCCATTTTACTATAATAAATTCAATTTTAAAGCAATTCTTAACAAAGTTTGCACAGTGTAGGCGAATATCAGAAGCAGTTGTGCCTATTATGTTTGTAATAAACAATTCATAAACGAAATCTGGAAGTTAGGTACAAAATTTGTGATCAAAATTAAAAAATGGCCAATTTACTATTGTAAATTTAATTTTAAAGCAATTCTTAACAAAGTTGCACAGCGTATGCGAATATCAAAAGCAATTGTGCCTATTAAGATTCCATTAAACGATTCATTAACGAAATCTGGATGTCGAGTATAAAATTTGTGATCAAAATTAAGAAATGGCCATTTACATTATGGTAGATTTAATATTAAAGCAATTTTTACAAAATTTTGCATAGCGTAGGCAAATATCAGAAGCAATAGTGCCTATTATGTTTCCATTAAACAATCCATAAACGAAATCTGGAAGTTAGGTACAAAATTAGTGATCAAAATTAAGAAATGGCCATTTTACTATAGTAAATTCAATTTTAAAGCAATTCTTAACAAATTTTGCATAGCGTAGGCAAATATCAGAAGCAATAGTGCCTATTATGTTTCCATTAAACAATCCATAAACGAAATCTGGAAGTTAGGTACAAAATTTGTGATCAAAATTAAGAAATGGCCATTTTACTATAGTAAATTCAATTTTAAAGCAATTCTTAACAAATTTTGCATAGCGTAGGCAAATATCAGAAGCAATAGTGCCTATTATGTTTCCATTAAACAATCCATAAACGAAATCTGGAAGTTAGGTACAAAATTTGTGATCAAAATTAAGAAATGGCCATTTTACTATAGTAAATTCAATTTTAAAGCAATTCTTAACAAATTTTGCATAGCGTAGGCAAATATCAGAAGCAATAGTGCCTATTATGTTTCCATTAAACAATCCATAAACGAAATCTGGAAGTTAGGTACAAAATTTGTGATCAAAATTAAGAAATGGCCATTTTACTATAGTAAATTCAATTTTAAAGCAATTCTTAACAAATTTTGCATAGCGTAGGCAAATATCAGAAGCAATAGTGCCTATTATGTTTCCATTAAACAATCCATAAACGAAATCTGGAAGTTAGGTACAAAATTTGTGATCAAAATTAAGAAATGGCCATTTTACTATAGTAAATTCAATTTTAAAGCAATTCTTAACAAATTTTGCATAGCGTAGGCAAATATCAGAAGCAATAGTGCCTATTATGTTTCCATTAAACAATCCATAAACGAAATCTGGAAGTTAGGTACAAAATTTGTGATCAAAATTAAGAAATGGCCATTTTACTATAGTAAATTCAATTTTAAAGCAATTCTTAACAAATTTTGCATAGCGTAGGCAAATATCAGAAGCAATAGTGCCTATTATGTTTCCATTAAACAATCCATAAACGAAATCTGGAAGTTAGGTACAAAATTTGTGATCAAAATTAAGAAATGGCCATTTTACTATAGTAAATTCAATTTTAAAGCAATTCTTAACAAATTTTGCATAGCGTAGGCAAATATCAGAAGCAATAGTGCCTATTATGTTTCCATTAAACAATCCATAAACGAAATCTGGAAGTTAGGTACAAAATTTGTGATCAAAATTAAGAAATGGCCATTTTACTATAGTAAATTCAATTTTAAAGCAATTCTTAACAAATTTTGCATAGCGTAGGCAAATATCAGAAGCAATAGTGCCTATTATGTTTCCATTAAACAATCCATAAACGAAATCTGGAAGTTAGGTACAAAATTTGTGATCAAAATTAAGAAATGGCCATTTTAATTGAGCCAGCCAATTGCACGTGTCCCTAACGACGCCGGCACCTCTCGTAGAACTTACTCTCCGCGATGCAGAGATAACGCGAAACTTCAGTCTACGTTTTCTTCTCCTTTTGTCCCGCGGATGTCCAGCAGCCACCCCTTTGATTCCCTTGTCCCTCGCGTCGTGGATTCCAATTAGCCTCGCGCTGAAGGGAATGGTCAGCTCGCGTTGCGTTTCGCTACCTGTGTAATCCTCCGCTGTCTTTTAATTTCCGCTCGGACACTCTGCCTCCTGCTTCGTGGAAACCCACGCGGAGCATGTATGGTCGCGGAGCAATGGGGAGTAATGATTTTTAA